GGACCCGGGGTCACCTCAGGAAAGTTCCTGTTCCTCCTCCTGTAACTGCAAATTCCATCCCCTGAGGCCCTGAGCTGCAGGGGGGACTGGGCCCCTTCCCGTCCTGAATTAGATCAAGCTGTGGGGAGGATGCTATGGGTGGCCGCGGGGAGCAGAGATGCAGGCTCCGGACCCCTCTGAGCAGCCTCGCTGTGGGGCACCCTGTGCGGGGTCCCCGTGACCAGAGGGAAGCCAGCGTGGCCCTGGCCACTGAACCCTAGATGAGGACACATCTTGATCCGGGGAACTTCTGCTGCCGTGAGAAGTATGAGTGCTGGTTCTCTCAGGCTTCCCGGCGGATCCCCGGCCGACTCGCGCTCGGCTCGAGATGACGCTGAAGGGCGATGAAAAGAACTTCTTTTCCCAGAAAACAGATTCTTCATTGACACATTTTTTTTTCCCCTCCTGTAGGTTTTTTTCCCCCCTTTCCAAAATAGGTCCTTTTTCCTCAGTCTTTTATGTGAGGAACCAGCGCAGGACAAAGTGTACTTGTCAGCAATATTCCAAGGCTGCTGTTCTCCTTTCCCCTGCCCCACAATGGGACCATTATCAGCCGCTCAACCGTCCGGGATTTTCCCTGTCCCCTCCAGCGCTAATGAGCAGGGAGGCTGCCAGGCCGAACAAAGTGGGGAGGTTTTCACTTGACTGGAGCCCTGGCGTGGGGAGCCCCAGGCGGGGCCTTGATGGGGGTGTCGGGCACTGTCATTCGATCGCGGTGAGTGACTTTTGGGAGCTCGGCCATCCATCAGTTTTGTGATTCACACCATTTGTCCTGGAGAGCGGAATCCCGGTTCCCAGAGAGGCGCCTTTCAAGCCATCTTGGGGCCCCGAGCTCCCGGCGAACCCCACATCTGACCGTCGGAGCTTAAGTCCTCAGCAACACTTCGTCAATCACAGCAGGAAGGAAAACAGCCCTGAGATATTGACCCCCGCCCCCCCCGGGAATGCACTGGGCTTGACGGCGCTGAGAAAATAAAAAGGCTCAGAGCCCCAGATTTGGGCCTGGGGATCCGGTGCCAAGATCAACTTCCATTTCTTCCCTTTCTGGCAGTGGCTGGAGCTGGTGTTTAGGGGACCCCAGGCCCCCATTCCCAGTGGCTTTCATCAGCGCATGTCCTGGCCCCTCGGTGGCCTTAGTATTCCCGGATCTGAGCTGAGGGGTGGCACCCGGCAACCTGCTCATACCTCCAGCCCGCCAAGCCTGCAGCGACTCGTGGGCCTCATGGAAGCTCTGTCCACAGTAGGTGGTGCCAGGCCCAAGCCCGAGCACACGGACAGGCGACACCTCTCCAGTCCTGTCCTGTCCTGGGGCCTGGCACCCTGCGCCATCGGGAGGAGAGAGGTTTCCGTGTGTGTGAAATCTCTACCTGCAGCTCCTTAAACACCGGGATGGGGCAGCACCGTCCTGTGGCCAGGGCTGACTTTGTCGGCTAGGCCCCTGGCCGGGTCTCAGGGGAATGCCCGTGCTCCACCTGTGAGGCCTGCTGGGAGGGGCGGAGCCACAGGTACGATGGGGGGCTGGCTGGCGTGAGTCCTGAGGTCCTCCTGGTGGCCAAGGGTGGGTGGCCAGAAAAGGGTGAAGCAGGGGCTTCCAGGTGGGCGGGCTCCACCCAAGGCAAGGAGCACCCCTTGGCTGAGAATGACCTGAACCGGCCATCCTCAGGGTCAGAGCCGAGAGGTCAGTATTATTATCAGGTCTCTCAGTGTCTGACCCTGAGGATGGCCAGTTCACTTGCTGCTGAGTGATGCTGCCCACGGCTTGGGCATTAGTGACCTTCCACTACCTGAACCCTGCCAGGTCTGCCGTGGGGAGCTCTGAGGTGAAGAAGAGAAGTGGTGGGCTCAGCCTGGAGGCCTGAGGCCTCCCTGGAGGAGGTGGTAGGGAGGCGCTGAGGAGAAGGCAGAGCCCCTGGCTGGGGTGGGTGTGGAGGCAGGGTTGGCCCAGGGGTGCAGGTGCTGGGGCCTCACGTGACTGGGTGAACTTCTGTGAGGAGGAGTTTGGCTTCCAGAACCTGGCCTCAAGAGACCTTTTGGTCGGAGCAGAACGAGGTGGGGATCAGGCCCCGGAGGAAGGAGTCCTGCCCCAGAGGAGAGACACCCTGCTGGGGACCAGAAGGACCCCTGAAGGAGGCTACTCTGCTCTTTGTGGCCCCGGGCCTTTGCTCAAGCCCCTGTCCACCTGCCAGCGCAGCTCCAGGCCGTCTCTGGGGGCAAGAGAGGTGCATGTGGGTACAGTCTCCATGGGAGGCTGGCAGGGAGGGCCGGCCTTTGGGAAGGCTGGGGGTGTGGGCTGCGGGTGGGCCTGCCAGCCACCTCCCTGGGAAGGGAAATCTGCATTGCCAGAGGTTTGGGTGGGGCTCATGGAGCAGGCTCTGGAGGCAGCACAGGCTGAGGCCAAGGCCTGGGCCACACCCACTCAGAGGCCACCCCTCGCTGGGTGGCCGGGGCAGCCATACTCTCCGTGCCCTCCACCGCTCACTTTCCTCTGGAGGGTGGACAGCCCACTGGCCGAGCTGGGGAGGAGGGCTTCGCGCACACCTGGACTCCCCCGTCAAGGCTAGGGGCTGGGGCCTGGCCAGGCCCGATCTCCCCTGCTCTCCCACTCAGCGGCCTCGGCCCCCTCCCTCAATGAAGTTCACAGGCCCCAAGGCTTAGAAAAGCACACAGATTTATTGCATATCAATCTCATGTATAAACTCATTGTAGCATCGGAAAGATTACATTTGGTATACAGTCCTATTCTACAGCAATTATCCTCAAAATCAGCATCTCCTAGGCTTTTACCTTAAAGGAATTTCTCTACACAAGTACATTTGTCTTTATCACAAGCATCAAAATGAGTTTTGCAAAAATCGCTCTTTTGATTACTTTCTACGTCTCTCTCCTTCGTCTCCCACCGAGATTTCCATATCAGGAACCGGCCCTCAGCGTGGGCTTCCGTTTGGGCCTCTAGTCTTGCCGTCCACCCTAATCACATATCCAATAAGTGCATCTACGGAGTTTTTCTTGTCATAAAAATTTCACGAACAGACATCATAATGACCGCGAAACACGAGCCATGCACAGTTTACTCATAAACACAACAGAAGCAATTTACAGTGGGCGGGGGGAGCACCGGCCTCCTCAATGTTTTGTGTTTTTTTTTTTTTTTGTATTATTTTTCAAACAATATGTGAAAAGCAGACATTTACATTTGATTTCTCTTTCAACACTATACAGTTCTAAAAAGAAACAAAACAAAACAAAAACCAAAAACAAAACTAAACCAAATTTCAATGCAGTGTCAGTGGATGGGCAGGTTCGGGACCCTGTGTACATATTTACACATACACACACGCACACGCACACACACACACACACACACGCTTCCCATCACCGAGAACACGCGTGTGCACACAGACTCAATCGCACGCGTGCTGGTGCCCGGCTCCGCTGCCCGTACTCTGAGGAGAGCTGCAGGCTTCCAGAGGCGTGGAAGGGAGGCGCAGAGCTTCCTGTGTTCATAACTGACCTGTACAAGCTGCCTTTATTTATTGTATTTTTCCCCCAAAAGTGGTAATGCGGATCAGTGACAGAGGAGGGTAAAACAAACAAACAAACAAACAAAACAGTGGAATGGAAAAGGGAACTCTTCTCAGAAGAATGCAAGAATGTCTTCGTCACAGTATCACTCGATGCTACAGACAGTTTCATGGCTTCTGATACCCGGCTGGCTCCACGACCCAGGGGAGCTGCGTCCCAGTGTCCCCGGCTCCCTGTCCCCTGCTCAGCGGCAGCGCAGGGCGAGTCCCCCTCTCCCGCCCCAGAACAGCACAGTGAATACAGCTCAGTAGATTTCAGTCACTTGGGCAGGGGGACAGGGCCGGGGCCCCAATCCAGTGCTTCGTGGCTTCGTGTCTAGAACACGTGATATGTGCTTAGGAAGGGTTTGCGGTCGCTCCTGGGAGGCGCGGAGGCAGAGGAAGCTGAGGCCCTGAGTTTGCAGGGCTGGACCGGGGACGCCTGGCTTGGGTCCGTCAGTGCCTGACCAACCAGGGGCACTCTGGGCCTTGGGAAGGAGGTCCTGCGGGGACACCTGGCTGCTGTCACACACCCCTGGGGTGTGCATGGGGACCTGCTGCTGCGTGCGTCCCACCCAACTGTCTGGGAATGACAGTGGCAAGAGGGCGCCTGGGGCCAGGTCTGGAGGGTGTGGAGGGAAGACGCCAGGAGGCCTCGGGCTGAATTTCTATCTTTGGCTGACTGCCAACCATCCGAAGGCGTTAGGGTCAGGGTGGCAGTCTAGGGAACCTGGCCCCATGGGGTCCTTGGCTTGAAGCCCCAACCCTGACCAGTCCTCAGGTAATGGTCAGCAGGTCAGCTGTCCAGTCCCACCTCTGCTCGTGCTACCAGTGGATGTGGCCACCTGTGGCAGGTTGCAGCTCAGAGGCCAGGGTCTCGGAAAGCTTCTACCCCTCCTGGTCCCCAGCCCCCAGCTGGTCTCCTGGTCCTGAGGGCACTGGGCCTGAGGGAGGTGGGCACATCTGAGCAGAAACAAGCAGGGGGCAGAGCTGGCCAGGTTGGGGGCACGGCAAAGTGTGGAGGCTATGTTTTAGGGCTGCCCCAGTGCAGGAGATAAGTGCTTTCCTTGTCAGGGGTTCAAGGTCAGAGTCCCCCGAAACACTAAGTGCTGGGGCCTGAGAGGCTGAGTGTTCTGGAGAGCTGGGTTTGCTATCACCACCTCCAGGGACAAAAATATAGGACTTAAAGGTCCAACCAGGGCTCCCGGGAAAGGGGTGGGAGGACGGTAAGAGAAGACAGTGCTTGGGAGATCAGCCCGGAAGGACAGAGCTGGGCAGGGGACTCCAGAGAGCGGGCAGAAGGGCGTCCTCTCTCTGCCACCACCACCAAGCTGCACCTTGGTCTCGTCCACACCTCCCGCTTTGTAGAGAGTCATATCGCAAAAAAAAGCACACACCGTATTCTTTCACAGAAGAAATCATATAATTTGGGTTTACAGAAATGGGGTGTTGGTATCTGAGGTTGGACTTTTACAGGGATCCCATGTGGATCAAGAGGAAGTTGGAAACTCCTACCACGGTACCTGGCAGGCCTGGATGCCACGGACGCTTGTGCAGAGGTGTGAGCTCGCTCGTTCGAAAATCCTGACGGTGTGGCTCCTCCGCCGACCTCTCCAGTCTGTGGGCGCATGGGTGGCTCTCCATCTTGCCACATTGCTTGGACTTAGCAAAAGGAGACCCTTTTCTGCCACAATCTTTGGGTCTATGTGGCCCGTGGAGACCTCCCTGCCACCAGCCTCCGGGGCAGGCCCGCTTGGCCCGGTAAGACGCAGGCGCCTGTGGTCCAGAGTGCCTGGGACGCACGTGGGACAAGCCCTGTGGGACATGCCCTTTTGCCCCTGGGGACAAACGCTGATAGATGTCCATAGTGTGACACAGATCCACACAAACGTGGTTTGTGTCACACTAGTTTGCATTTCTGTCTTCTTTGCTTAAGGGCAACTTAGGCAATTTTTTTTTCTTCTCTTCTTGTTGGGACACTCATTACTTTTGTTTTCCAAACAACAAAATAAATAGAACACTTGTCTTCAATGCAAATGCGACTGAAACTCAAATTTAACAAAAACATATGATTGTCTGATAAGTGGGCAGCGGTGACAGCAGGATTCGTGGGGGGACGCGGGGGTATTTGGCACATTTAAAACCGCCCCCCTCCTGGTGATTGATCACACAACACACCTTATTACACGGTTTTGGTCCTTCACTAGATACTTATATTAACATTATTTCTTCACAATAAGAATGTCTAATGCCAAAAATACTGTTAAGGAAGAAATAAAATAAGAAGAGAAATGAATTAGAAAAAATTACAAGTTATATACAGATTAAGGTAAATTCCATCAGGGAAAAGAAATTATTATTTGAAATTGGCCCCTATGGGAATAATTTAAAGCCCATCCAAAGGGAGAAGCAGACACATCCAGAGGAAGAAACTGGAGGTCCCTCGGGCTGTGTCCTCTCCGCCTTTTGTGCCGGGTCCCCAGGACCCTTCTGTCCTCGACTTTGGCCTGCCAAGAACCTGCACAAAGAGTGGACATGGTGGCCGCGCGGTTGATCCCAGGTTTTAGGCACAGAAGCACTTGGCGTCCTGGAGAGGGGCAGCTGCAGGGGCCCCGGTGGCGACCTCGGGGAGAACCTCCCCGCTGCGGGTGGAGGCTGGAGACCAGAAAGCAGCCCTTCGGCTCTGCCCTCGGGAGAGCAGAGGCCAGGGCCATCCTCGGGGCGGCCGGGGTAGGACGGGGCTGGAAGGACCGCGGGGCACCTGGCCGCACCTCTGCATGGAGGACCGGAGCCCCCCCAAAGTCTCCACACAATTGGGGGTTCTTGGGTGGGGCCTGTGGATTCCTTGCAGGCCACATGGGGGCGCCTTAAGGTTCCAGCAGAGTCTGCACACTGCTGGAAAGGGTGGATCCTGCGCCTCATTCCGTTTCCGGGGCACCCAGAATCACCTTGGCTTGTACAAATAGGATCAGAGATAGAAAATTCTCCATTATCTACAGTATAAAGGACACACCGGAGCCTGGTGTGGTCGCCCAGGCAGGCTCGGGTTTGCAAGTAAGCTGAATTTCAAAGCAATGCAAAATTACTTTTAAAAAACAATTTGCAAGTCATTTTTTTGATTTTTAAAAAATACTGTCTATTTTTAAAACCCACATGCTTAAATAGACTCTGTAGTCAATACAATTACCAAAAGGGTTATTCTCGTCACTTTCATTATGAAAATTGTCGGCGAGAGAGATCTCCGTCCTCAGCACACACCTGCGTCCTCTGCCCCCTCTGTGCCCTGCAGGCGCCTGGCGGTGGCCGCTGGGAACTGAGATTCCACGCTCGCCCCAGTGCTGGTCCTCCGGGCAGCTCCTGTGATGGGGTCTTCGATGGGTCGGTGTCCTCAGGACCTGTCCTTGGAGACAGGACAGCTCTGCCGCTGCTTCATGGACTTGCGGATTCTGAGTTTTCATTGGAAAAGTTAGCACTGGACGGAGGAGGGGTGGAGGGTGGGCTGCACGCCAAGGGTGGTGCCGAGGGTAGCGGGGCTTCTCCCTGCCTCCCTGCATCCCCGAAGCAGATGCTCTGGCTCTGGACTCTGGTCCTGGGGCCCCCGGCCCCTCAGAGGTGGTTGATGGGGTTAAAGGCTCCGGGCTCTGACGTGGCTCCTGTGATGTTCAACCAAGCGCCCAAGGAGCTCTGCGAGGGGGCGTGGAGGGGCGCATCCTCGGAAAGGGACAGCATCATTGCATACGCCTGGGAGGAGAGGGACACAGAGGACAGGTGAGCGGGGCCGAGACAGCAGGGCCGAGCCTCCTGCCGCCTGCCCACTGCCCTCTGGCCTGGACAGGGAGGGGCACTGGCGGCCAGAGAGGCCCACACTGCCCGTGCCCTGGAAGAAGAGGGTGCCTGTGTGGGTGTGAAAGCAGGGAGGGAGCCGTGCCCACTGCCCAGAGTGGCACCAGGGCCAGTGGCCCTGGCTGGGTATGCCAGCTCCCTTGGTTCTTGGCAGTACCCACTGACTAGCTGTCACTTCCCATCTCTTCTCCGTGCCTGGTAACCACTGAAAGCTCACTGGTGGGGTCAGCCCTGGAAGCTGGTTTACCACCAAGGTCTCGTGCCAACAAGGCCCACCTGCCTGCTGGGCGGGGAGCCCTGAGACATCTGCTTTGACGACCCTGAGACTCGACAGAGCTACCTCCAGAACTGCATGGAGCTTGAGGAAGGGTTAGGAGCTGTGGATTGCTTCCCAGCCTGAGAAAGCCCAGGACAGCCTTTTGGCCCGAGCCCCAGAGCAGAAGGTGAGGGGACCCAGGGACCCTCTGAGCGCAGAGTGCAGGCTAAGGGTGAGGTGCAGGGGAAGCCAGCGCTGGTCCCGCAGGTGAACACTCCGGACAGAGTTAGTAGAAGACGCAGACAGACACGCAGACGGCTCTTGCTGAGACACGTGGGGTGGGAGGGCTGCGGAGCACAGGCGAGCCCCAGTGCCTCACTCTGCAGGGGCCTCGAGGACCCCGCCCCAGCTTCTGCTTAGAGGTGGCAACCACCGGACAGAGCAGCTTCCTGGCAGAAGCTGGGGCGGCCGGGCCGTCTACGGCAGGGGGCAGACAGTGGGGAGACCCAGGCAGCTGGGTAGGCCGGAACAAGCGTGTGGACATTTCCCACTGGGGAGGGGACAAGAGGAAAGTGACCCGCACTTAGTATCTGGGGCCGGTTCACATCTGTCTGCTCTCAACCTCACTTGGCCCTGGCTTGCAGGAGGGCAGTGGTCCCTGGGCACCTCGCTAGCTGCTGCAGGGGGCACGGACACAGTGGTCCCAAGTGTCCACCGGCCAGGACAGGAGTCTCAATGGCCCCTGCCACCTGAGGCCGGTGGAGCCAGGGCAGGGCTCTGTGGTACCTACCTGGTTCTTAGCCTGCCTGTACAGAGTCTGTTTTAAAGCCTCAGAATCTAAGGTGGAATTAAGCACATCTTTAACTTCAAAGGCTTCCTCAGCTGCTCTGCGGAGGTCCAGCCCCTTCCCAAAGGTCGGCGTCGGCTCCAAGGCTAACAGGCCGCCTTCTCGCTCCTCAACACACCTGCACCAAGGACCGGGAGAGGGACCTGGGGTTACTGCTCTGGCCGCACGGCAGCTCTCCGCCCGCATGCGCGCCACGGGTCTCCACAAGCCACATGCACAAGGGGACAGACACACGGACACACAGACACCTGGGGGAAGCGACACAGAGGGCTGAGCATGTGCTTGGGCATCGCGGGCAGCATACGGGGGCCCTGGTCTCAGAGGTGGGGCATGGGAGGCAGCCCAGTTCTCTGAGGCCCTAGCCACTTTGGAGGGGTTAGGCTCCCCTCCCAGGACCTGGGGACCGAGGAGGAAGCAGTACCTCGGGGGGTCTTGCAGGGGATCATGGGAAGCGGGCAGTGTCGGGGGCTGGAAGGAGGCAGTGAGCAGCCGGGGCATGGGGACGGTGGCTCCAGCCTGCACCCAGAATCCCAGGGGCTGCAGCCCGCGTCCTGCTCTGCAGGCAGTGGCCTCCCTCCTGTGCTGGGTCCCTCAAGCCTCTCAAAGGTGGCGGCGATGTGGGGTGGACCCAGGGCCCTCAGGACCAGCAGTGGCCATCCGCGCCGAGCAGGCACGAGCCCGGGCTGGAGGAGGCTGAAAGGCAAGGTGCCTCTGCGACGCTCAGGCCCCCTCCCCAGCTGACCCCCGCACGTGCCCCCAGCCCCCCACCTTCGGGTGTGGTCGAAGCCCACGGCCAGGGCTGCAGGCGGCTCCTCGTCCTCCTCGTCCTCATAGACACCCTGCGGCTCGGGCGTGGGGGACACCATGTCGTCCTGTGACTTCCCGGCCAGGCTGTCCTCATCCTCCTCCTCCAGGTCCTCCTCCTCCTCCTCCTCCACGTCCTCTGGCTTCTCACTGGCCAAGCCTGGACACTGGGCGTCGCCGTCCAGCTCCTGGGTCTCTGGCCTGGAACCATGTGAAGAGGTTGGCTGCGTTCGGACCCCCACAGGCGGGCAGCACAGCGCCGCTCAGCCGGCTCCCACTGTCCCTCGCCCCTCGGTCTTCCCGGCCCTTCCCAGAGAGCTGGTGCTCCTGACCACCTGCCCCTGCACAGAGCTCTGGTCCCCTGCCTCAGCCCTCCCTGGGCCCCACAGCAGGAGCTGGGTACATGCAGGAGGAAGGGAGTTGCCTAGGGGTGGTGAGGGCAGGGCAGGACCCCTAGCAGGCTGCTCAGGGGTTCATGCCACACTGGGCATCAAGGAGGAAGCCGTGGCTGGGTAGATGGGAAGAGGTCCCACACTGGCGCTGGGGTTAGACACTGCCCAAGGGGCGCCTTCAGGGGAGGCTGGGGTGGAGAGGCTTTCAGGCCCAGCCTTGCCTGGGGCCTGGCACTGCCCATTTGTGCCTGTCCCTGCCCTATTGCACCATGAGCCTGGGGCTGGGCATCCTGAGAAGCGGCCGGGATCGGGTTCTGGAGAGTGAGGGCTGGGGTCAGGATGTCTACACTGCTGGGCTGAGCTTGTTTCAGAGCAGGCCAGGCCCTCCTGCAGCCCGGATCCCAGCCCCAGCACACGGCGGAGGGTGCCGTCCCCGACTCATCTGCTCTGCTCAGCCTCCTCATTACTACAAGAGGCCGGAGGCTGGGCCTGGTGTTGCGCACCCATAAACCGAGCACTCTGGGCCACATAGCGAGACCCTGTCTCAAAACAAAAAATAAACATAAAAAAAGGGCTGGGGATGTAGCTCAGTGCAAAGACCCTGGGTTCAACTCCCAGTAACACCCCCCCCCCCCCCGAAAAGAGCAGACGAGGGTGCAAGTGTAGAAGAACCGCCTGGGTTCGGCTCCTGTCCTGGCCATGGCCACAGCCAGGCCCAGTGGGCCAGGACCAGCAGCTGCCTGGGCACAGAACTCTGGGTGCTCTGGATGGCTATACCCAGAGCTCCACCTGTGACCACCGAGGTGGCACTGGGTGGCACCTGTGATCTCGGGGAGACACGGAGTGCCTCTTGCCACCAAAGATGGCATCTCTTCAGCTCAACATGGGGTGCGAGCTGAGCAGGCTCCTGAGTAGACAGGGGCTGGGCTGGGGCCCTGAGGCTTGCAGGAGCTGCACCTGTCCTGCCCTCTGGGACGGCCAGGACCTCTGCAGGTTCTGGGGGTTGGAGAAGGGGCCCTGGTCACATGCACTGGGTCCCACCCTGCACACAGCCCCTCTCCCCAGCAGCCTGGGTCTCCCTCCCATTCTGGCTCATAGCGGGGTGACCCTGGGGCCTGGGCCTGCTTGGGCAGAGCATGTGGCCCTCAGGGTCCCTTGAGGACAGGGTGGGTGGCCAGGTGCAGGCCAAGTGTCTTTGTGGCCCTGGGTGGGTTTGTACTCCATCCCTGCCACTGGGGAGCTGGGCAGTGGAGAGAACACTCTTTCCCTCGCTCGGGGGTGTGGTGTCCATAGCAACAGCACAGGCCCTGGCTGGGAGGAGCTGGATCCTCGGCCTGTGACGTAGCTTCCCCACCAGTGCCGCTCACAGCACGGGGGCTGCAGCTCCAAGAGCTAAGGGGGTGGAGGCCGAGGTCACAGTACCGTGGCCCCCTTCGTGCTGGGCTCCCAGGGGACCTGTCCAGGCCCCACCCAGCTTCTGGCATTTCTGGCAGCCCTTGGTGCCCCCTGGCTGGCAGACACACTATGCTGATCTCTCACGCATGTCCAGGCACCCAGCCCCGCTGAGCCAGCAGCCCCCTCCGCTGGGAGCACCCCACCCACAGCAGCTGTCTCCGTGCGGACCAGTCCCCATACAGCCACATCAAGGTGCTGGGGTGAGGACTCAGCAGGAGCTCAGGACAGTGCAGCTCGATAGCTTGTAGGGGAGACTGTGGGGCCAGGAAGGCCGCAGGCCTCGGATTCACTGACCACAAAGGGAAGAGACAGGTTTTGAACTAGAACCAGATGATTTTAGTTCTGGCCCCAAATGAGACTGCCAGCGCCCCCACCAGGTCGGCTGAGAGAAGGCGACATGCGCTCCCTTGGTGCAGTAATGAGAGGTCCCTGGCTCTCAGGGCAGGGGCAGCTGGGCCCGGGAGACCTCTCCTCAGCAGAACAGGCTGTCTGGAGGCTGAGCCTCACTCATTCTGTTGTCCCCAGGGCTGCAACGGGTAGGCGGCTGTGGAGACAGCCCTGACGGAATGCTCTGTGACAGGATGGCGGGGTCCTGTCCTCAGCCACATGCCATGAGGCCTAGCTGACCCTCTTCCTTCAAGAGTCTCCAGGGGCATGGTGCCACAGACTGGGGTGCCGGGCCCTGTAGGCTGCACTCTGGGCTCTGCACAAGGCCAGAGGACTTCACAGGGGAGCCTGCTTTCCCGGGACACCATGTGAGCCTTGGGCTGCCACTGATCATCTGGTGAGTCTCCTGGGCCCTCATCCCTGCCCTGGAACGCCAGCGACAAGGAAGACACGGCCCTACCCTGGAGGAGCAGCTGGGCCTGGCACTGGGGTCAGTGTCAGGGTTCCTGCTTGCTAAAGGTGTGGGCTGGACCTGGGGCCATGGCTAGTGAGGTAAGGTCGGGGCTGGCTGCAGGCTCTGGCCTGGCCTGGTGGGAGCAAGGCACCCTGTGGCTGTGGGCCTCGGGCTCCCTGCGGCAGAACCAGGGGGTCCCTTCCTGGGGCCTCTCAGGGTCTGCAGCACCTCTGCTTCTTGCAGCTGCTCCAGCATCAGCTTTCGCTCAAGAACAGCCCCTTCCTGGGGTCCCCAGCTCCTTTCGGACGCTAAGCCCTGAGGGCAGAGAGGTCAGGACACCTCTTGGGCCTGAAGCCGGATCCTGCCATCTTCTGCCTCCCTCTGGAGGGACATGTGTGCGCCTGTGTGTGTATGTGAATATGCATGTGCACACACATGTGTATGGGTGTACATGTGCATGGGTATGCCCTACATGTGCATGTGTACAGGTGTGCCTACCTTCATGCACATGCGTGCAGTGCACATGTGTGTACTGGAGTGACTGCATGGGTGATGTGTGCACATGCATGGGCGTGTACAGATGGTCTCTGACTTAGAGATTCCACTCAGAGTGTTAGACTTTAGGATGCTGAGAAACATACCTAGCAGGGCTCTCACTTCGATCAGATCTTGTCTCCAGCGGGCCCTGCTTGGTACGACACTGCCACGGGACACTGGGGGGTGCCGGGCTCTGTCCCACCCTGCGTGGTCAGTCGCCAGATGCAGGTGTGCAGTAAACTAACGGGACCTCTTGCGCTGTCGTAAGCGGGCTTTGTGCGAGGTGACGCGCCCAGCCGCAGACGCGTGCGCCTGTGAGGCAGGCTGGCCGCACGGTGGATGCGGGGTGAGCGGCGCTGCATGTGCACGTGGCTTATAGCATTCTCCACTCCTGATGAGCTTGTCAGGACGTGGCCCCATGGGAAATCGAGGAGGCTCTGCTTACATGTATGTGTTCACGTGTCCTCCTGTGGCCAGCAGGAGTGCCCCAGACCAGGCAAACATGCGCTGGCTGTGGAGGGCGTGGGCGTGGGCGTGGGCGTGGTAGGGGCGCGCACACACCTCACACATGGACCAGGGGCTAGCTCTCTCATGGCCACGCACAGCCTCTCACCCAGCGCACCCTGTCTCGTGGCCCCCCCGGCCGTGCAGCGGGCTCGCACTCTTCCCCCTGCGGGCGGACACGCTGAGGCAGTGGCGGGAGCGTCTCTTACCGCTTGTCCGTTCGAGTGGACGCCTGGCTCATCTCGCTGTTGGCGATGAAGTTTCTGATCTCGGAGAAGTAGGAGTCTTCCTTCTCATCTAAAAGTGCGTGGTTGTCTGACTCGGAGGTGGGGGAGGAGGCGCTGGTGCCCAGGTGGTTGGTGAGGACCCCGGGGTGCTGGCCCACTGTGGACAGACAGATGGACAGGCGGTGTCAGGCGGTGCTCGCTGGGCCCCGCCTCCCTGGCCACGGGCACAGGCAGCCCTCCGGGAGCGGCTCTGGGGCACCCGCCCGAGCGCCCTCGCCCACCTGGCGCGCCCTCGTGCTCGTGCTTCTTGAGGTGCCGGTCCAGGTTGGTCTGCTGGCCGAAGCAGCGGTTGCACAGGTGGCACTTGAAGGGCTTCTCCTTGTTGTGGATGTTGCGCACGTGCCGCTGCAGGTTGGAGGAGATGCTGAAGGAGCGGTCACAGTACTTGCACCTGGAAGACAGGCGCCGGGGCCATGGGGCGGGGTCCAGAGGGCCCGGGCCTTTCCTGGAAGCTGCTGGCCCCTGGGCATGCGGTGGGGACCTCAGCGTTGACTCCTCCCTCCTGCCCAGGCCCTCAGGCCCACATGTGGCTGGCAGCCACAAGAGGGCGACCTTGCATCACAGAAAGACGCCCAGAGCAGCCGCAGGGTCCCAGGCGGAGGCTGGAGCCCGAGGCTGGCTCTGGCACTTCCTCTGCAGCTACGGAGGGCCTGGCCCAGCTGTCCCCCATGGCCGGGTCACGGCCAAACCCCTTCTGACTCGGGCCTCTGCGTGGCGATCTACTAATGTTCCTAGCTGCCCTGGGGTGGAATGGGGCTTCTGGCCTTGCTGCCCGCCCAGCTGTGGATGGCGCCAGGCCGTGCAGACCCTTCGGGCACTGCTAGCCTTTCGAATGCTCCCTGCAGGTGGCAGGGCCTCCCCAGCCTGCACCGTACACTTGGAAAACCAGAAGACGCCCCTGCCGTGTTTATCAGAGCCAGCACTTCCCTGCCCACCGATCGCCCTCACGGACGCCGGCCTCTACAGTGTAAGGGGTGCCGCACATGGCGTCCGGTGCTGGGCGGCCTGGGCCCTGGGCCGGAACCCAAAGGGCATCCTCCCCAGTCACAGCGGCCTGAGGGAGGGGTGCACAAGGCGAGCAGTGGGAAAAGCCGGGGACAAAGGGAACGAGGGGAGGCAGGGCTGGACTCAGGGAGGAGCGTGGGCGCCCCGTGAGCCGTCTGGGAAGGAGCAGCTGCGGCTGAGAGCCCCTGCGCAGGCTCTGTGTGCTCGGCCAGACGCGGCAGAGGACAGCCTGGCTCGGGCTTGCTGCACACGTGTGTGCCCGTGCCGTGTGTGTGTGTGTGCCTGAGTGTGTGGCACGCCCACGTGCCCTGGCCGTTAGTCCTCCACAGATGCTTATCTGAACCTAACGGTGTAAAGCACCTGGGGATTTTGTCTGTGTGGTTGTGTATTTTCCAATTTGGAAAAGCAGCAGCCTCTGCTATGTCCACACTGCGAGGCTCGGCCCACCCAGCGCCGCAGGCTGTTGGGGGCGGGACTCATGCAGCCTCCGTGGGGCCAGGATAGGGGCCCATGCCCACCCCAGGGGTCCAAACACCTGCCTTGCGCTCTGAAAGGAGGGCCAGGCCGTTGCAGGCCTCCCTCCCTCGGCTGGATGCTGTGGTCTGGTCCAGGGCCAAATGCTGGTCACCGGCCCTCGTGTAGACGAGGACTTGTCTAATGACATGGGGAGGATGGGCTGTGTAAGAGGCCTTCACTGTGCCCTCCATGACATCAGAGGCCCGGAGCAGGGCGGCCCTGGGCCCGCTGGATGTCACAGCAGCCCCCCAGCCTGTAAGTTGCTGACCTCTGAGCTGCCCCATGACAGCCTGGGGAGCTTGATGATAGCCCTCAGAGCACGGGGGGCAGCCCCTCCCCCAGCCCCATGGTGCGCCCTGGGGCCCCCTGGCTTGCTGTGGCTACAGCTGCCTCTGGCTCCTCTTGACCCCAGCCTCTGCGCCTCTCCAGGCCTGGGCAGTGCCTGTGTGCTGCATCTCCCTGGGGTCAGCAGGGCCTCCTCCAGGCACGTGGGTGTCCCAAGAGCACCGGGCTCCGAGCACCGTAACCTGATGAGTTGGGGGATCAGAGAAGGGACGCACTGGGGCGTGAGGGTGTGGGCCCAGGCCAGGAGGGGCCTTGTGGTCCCTCTGGTCGCAGGGTCTTGACCGTGGCCTCTCCTACTTTTAGTCTAAATAAATGGCCTGGGCAGTGATGTCCATGGGAAATTTAGCGGGGGGCAGCGAGCCCTGGGCTGCGAGGATCAGAGCTGCTCCAGCAGCTGGGAGCTGGGCGGTAGATAAGCTGCCAGGTACCCAGGGAAATTTACGGCTGTGCTATAAAAGGGACAGCGGCGAGTGCCATGGGAAGGAGGGTGCAGAAGGGCGGCCACAGTGACTCGAAGAGGCCCCCAGGGAGCTGGAGAGGGACCCCTAGGGAGGGGGAGGGTGGAACCAGCCCCCTGGGCAGCAGCGTCTTCCCTGGGACCAGTGGGTTACCGACAGCCATCACGGGGTGGGGCTGATTTTAGTCATTGTAAAAGGAAGGGAACAGAAAGAAAACACTTTGGCCCCAGCCCTAAAATAAAATCCAACAAGAAAGAAGACAGGCAAGGGGGACCTCACAGACACGCAGCTCGCCTCTCTGAACAGATGCAGCCGGTGTGGGAGGAAGGAAGGACACACTGCGCTCATCAGGAGTATGGTCCTCAGAGGGGCCGGCAGGGAGGGGCCCCAGGCCGGCCTCCAGGGCTCCCTCTAGGTGTGGCACAGATGCCACCAGCAGCCAGGAGATGCCCTGGCATCTGGGGACAGGAGGGTGCAGCCGCCTCATTCCCAAGTCAGTCTCCACCCCTTCCCAACCAAGTCCTAGGAAGTCCACGTGTTGGACTCATAAGACACAGGGTGTCATTCGCTGCACCCTGTCTTCTACCTTCACCCAAAGATCTCAAGCCTGGAGAAGCTGAGAGCAGAGCACCCTCTGCAGGCTGTGCTGTAGGGTGTGGTGGGGTGGCCTTTCCTCCAGAGAGAGCAGTATCACCCCATGGAGGGTACGGGACACTATGAATGCTTAGAAAAGCTGAGCAAGGACCTCAGAGGGGGAGATTTCCGGTTCAGTTATCCTGTCACTGAGGGAAACTTGAGCAAAGCCTGCTGATGAAGGGCCTGGGCTCTCCTGAGCACATCTGAGTACACACGGACACACCTGGGCACACTCACACATACCTGGCCACACAAGCACACACCTGGGCACCTGGCGCACCCATGCACGCACAGAGGGTGTGCGTGTGGGTGCTGCTACTGAGGAGGGGCTCACACCCCGGTGGGCAGGTGTGGAGGGGGTTGTGCTCCTCTCTGGGACTGAGCCCAGCACCGAGGGCTTCCGAGATGTGCTGTGTGTTTTTCTCTTCTCACCTAAAATCCTTCCACGGATCAAAACAATCCCAGGAGTCACAGAGCACCAAACCCCTCCACCCCGCCTTGAACCAGATAAAGTCAGGATTTGCAACACAAACTTGCAAAGCAATTACTGTTACCAAAGTCGAAACTCTCAGATTGAAGAGAGCAAAAGAAATCAATGATAATTAAATTCTTCTATAAATTCAGCCTGGACCCTCTGGGGGCTCTTAGCACGCAAAACTGTCCAAAAGTCAGCTCTCATTACAGAGAACGCACGCGGCTTGCTTTCTGGGAAGAGACTGGACCAAATAAATCTTTCTGTTGCCAGCCTTTGTTAAGTCCTCACTACTTCTGGAGTTCGAGGGGGGTGTGTACGGGAGGGCGGTGCAGGGCGCGAGGCTGGCGAAGCCGGCACTGACTCCTCCGGGGCTTCGGCCTCCAGGGGCGCTTGGAGCCGGGCTCAGGCACAATGTGGTACACAGGGCCATGCGGCCTCCCTTCCCAGGACAGCGCACACACCGATCCCCCAGGGCCAGTACCATCCTGCGGTCACTTCCTGGTGACCCCAAGCTCGGTGTGGGCACAGTACGGGAATCAAATGCCGTCAGCTTCAAACTAAGCCAGGCCCTTTCTTCCCCAGCCTTGCTGGGCAGACACACCCGGGGTGTTACTAAACCGGTCCTGGCAGAGAACCAGGCATTTCCCGTGTGTCTCAGGGCGACAATCGCCTGGGCTGTATTGACGAGGTCCCCTCTGGGAGCGCTGGGCCGGGCTCCTGCCTGACAAAACCCCAGGGACAAAGTGGGACAGGACAGTAGGCTGAGGCGGCAGCAGGTTCTGAGTCGTGGGCATCTCTGAGCCTTGGTTCTTTGTCATTGGAATAGGGATGGCAAGACTCTCTGGGGAGCTGCTCTGAACCCCAGATTCTATGACTGCCTCCGGGGTGCGGCCACTTTCCTGCCCTAGAGATAGGAGTGCTTAGGGCAGATGTGTGGCTTCCCAACCAGGGCTTCCCTGGGATCCTTCATGCATCCTCAGATGCCCCCCGCCCAGGACAGGGACCCACACTTGCCTGAGGTCCCTCCCTGGTCCTCCACCCAGGAGGGCATCTGCGGCCACTGGGAGAGGAGCAGAGAGGGGCTAGACCTGTGCTGATGCTCAGTCCTGCTGGGCCGTAGTCAGTGCAGCTGGAGAGCTGCTCCTTACGTCCTTGAGCAGGGAAGGACCTTCCCGTCAGCTTCCTGGGTTCCTCCTGCCTCATCCCAACCTCAAAAGGGGCAGGAGGTGGAGGGCCAGGAGCAGACCAGGGAGCCACCAGACCTCACGTCCGGTGGGAGCAGCCTGGCTGCAACCATGTCTGCTCAAAGTGGGAGCTGACGGTGCTCAGAGTAATGACCTCCCCGGACGCCCGGTTCCCCCGGCCCTCGGGAGCTCCTACCTGTATGGCTGCTCCCCGGTGTGCGTCCTCAGGTGTCTGGTGAGGTTTGCTGATCTGGGGAAGATCTTGCCACAGTACCTGGTGGAGGAAGCACGGGGAGGGAGGTGTCAGGGTGGCCTACAGCCTGCTTTCCCTGACCTTCTCTGCATCTGATGCCCTGAGCCCCCAGCCTCACACCTGGGTGCCGATGCCACCTAAAACCCGAGTCCCAGCCTCCTCCCTGGCGCTGGAGCCCAGCTTTGGTCTTGTAGAGAAGCCAGCTGGGCTGTGGCACCGCTGAACCAGTGCCACCCGGCAGCATCACAGCCCCAGCCCCAGTGCAGTCGGTGCAGGCTCAGACCAGCTTGGACCGCGGGCACCAGTCCTGAGACAGTCAGGGAGTGTGTATGCCCAACACTGTGGCCAGCTGTCCCCAAGAGCTGTGGCACACACTGACCATCCCCCGGCCTCCTGGATTCAGCCAGGAAGGCAGAGGCCGTGCGGTGTGCTCACAGAAACCCAGCTCTAAGGTGGCAGAGCAAGACCCTGAGCGCGCTTCAGGGCCACGAGTGTGCACCAGGCACCTCCTCGCCCACCTGCACAAGGAGCCTCACCTGCACGTGTACCGCTCCTTGCCCTTCCTGAGGATGGGGTCTGAGAGCGTGGAGGGTGGGGACCGGAAGCTGAAGGGGTGGTGGGGCAGGGGCTGCAGGGAGCCACCAGAGTCAGCTTTCATGGCCGCGAAGCTTTCTAGCTTTTCCGTCATGGTCTCGATAGCTGACATCTGCAGGTACAAGAGAGGGGAGAGGTCAGGGATCAGCTGCCGCCCAGCTGCAGGGCGTGGGCCCCTCTGGGGCACCTGAGTGCTTTAAGGCTGAGCACATCTGCAGGTGCTGAGTGGATCCTGGGGTCTCTGAGGCTGATCATCCTGCCCTTCCCTGGGACTCCGGGTGTTGTCCAGGTCTAGCCAGAGGGAGCGGGAGCTGGCCTTTCACAACCAGGCGGGTTTCAGTGGGAAAGGATTGGGTCACATAACCCCTTTTTCTGACCCAGGTCAGCAGTGCAGCTGGCTGAACCTAGCCAGCACTTATTCTCTAGTTTGGGTTACATATAACACTATGTTTTTTAATCTTAGTTTAAAACACTGAGGGGACCCTCAGGGAACCACCACCTCCTAGTGGCAGTATACCATAATTGCAGGTAAATAGTAGCCATTTAAGACTAGATTCCTCCCCAAAGCACATACCAAACAATAATGCCAAGTGTCATCACACCCAGCAGGGCAATTGCTTTGGGCATAGGGGAGCTGCCTCTGTTCCCTGGGGACACCATTGGCTTGGTCAAAGAGGGAGGAGAGGAATAGGTCTTCTCCATCTGGTGGACAGAGTTCTGATCGAAGCCCCTGATTGGGTGGGCCGATGAGGCCTCAGTCTTGATGACAGGGGAGGAGAGGGGACAGGGGAGCCACTCAGGTCTCAGCAATGTCCACTGCAGCTCTGCTGTGGGTGCTCTGGAGGGGGAGGCTGGCCAGGGGCCCACGGGAATGTGGGCCCATCATGCCAAGCACCCTCAGGTTTGGGCAGGAACTCAGGGGGAAATGCCAGGGACCCTGGAGTCACTGCATACACCTGTGCTAGGCCCACACCTGTGAGCTGCCCACAGGGATCCCAGCTTCACCTGGCCCTCATCAGGACACCAGCCTGCACCTGAGGGCTGCACGCCTACATGCGTGAGCTGGCCACCTGCACGGTGTCAGGTGACGTCACCACACAGTAACAACCTCTGTGCTTTGCAGAGACAGTCACAGGGGCTTCCGCCCCGGCGATGGCCCAGCCTCAGCCCACAGAGCTTGGTGACTTATTAGTTATCCTCCCCGGCCCCTTCCTCCTGGCCAGGGGCCACAGGGCAGGCAGAGGGTGGTGGACCAAGAGGACCGGGCAGGACAGACAATGGGCGGCCGGCCCCCCGCGGGCCTCTCTTCCTCAGGCCTGGGTGGGTCCCGCCTGCACGGCTGCTCAGCCCGATCAGATATTCCCGGCCGAGCTCCCCACACAAACACAAACACAGGATGCGCCTGGCTGGCTTGTCGGCTCTCTCAGCCCGTCCTGAGGAAAATTGGGGGAAGTTATTGACCAAACTGCGTGGCTCCCAGAAACAATGGGAGGCGCTAAGTTTAGCTGTGAACTCAGCTGAGGCCCAGGTTTCACAAATTGCAGGTTTGTCTACGGCGGGAAACGCCGAGGAGCCTGAGAACAATGCTCCAGTGGGCACAGGACTGAGGGTGGCCTGAGCGGCCTGGGACCCTCTAGGGGGCGGGGGGCAGGGGGCAGGGACACTGACTTGCAGCTCTGAGGTGGAGGCCAGCCCCACACAGTGAGGACAGGCAGCCCAGGGTGCAGGACACCAGGGTGACGACACTATACCACCCTGGAGGACCAGGCCTGGGCAGGCTCTGGGGTCCATGCCTGGTGTCCAGACCTTGGCATCCCGTTCCCAGACTCCTCAGGAGCCCCCTAGGTGGCCTCGCCTCCCCTGCCCCTGCTGCCCCTCTACACAGCCAGCATGCTCAGTGTCTGGGCCCCAGTATGGCCAGCTCAGCCCCCTGCACCAGGCTGCTACAGGGCGTCTGCTCCTTTTTGCCCAAAACTATGGGCCCTGTCCCAGCTCTGTCACCAGGTCCCCAAGTTCATGCCCCTGGCTGCCCTGAGCTGACCGTGGGCTCTGCAGGAGTGGATCCCCTCTGCCTCTGGAGGGCCAGCCTCCATGGGTCACCTAGGTCCGGGGGTCTTGGTCCCGCACCTCCCTGCGTGGGTTTTACCTGGGGGTGGAAGAGCAGCGGGGACGGCCGCAGGTACTTCTCCTTCAGGACGCCCACGGGGTCTGTCACCTTCCGCTTTTCTACCCTGCTGGACGGCAACACAGAGGGTTACGTACCCCACAGAGCCAGCTCCACACCACAGCGCGTGGCTGTGCTCACGTGGCCACAAACCGGCCACACAGGACACGACCACACTGCCTGCCCCTCTCGCCAGACTCCTCCATCACTTGCCTGAGCCCAAGCCCTCTTTGCCCCAGCTCTCCCCTCTGAGGCCCCACTTCCTGCCCATTGCCCTCGGGCTCCTGCTGCCCCCAGAACGCTTGGTTGCCAGTTCCCGAGCGTGTCAGGGCCGGGCTCGCCCCGAGCGGGGGCTCTGAGCGTTTTCTGGGGAGGCTGGCAGTCAGCCCTGTGTGGTGGGGCTGCCCCGTGGGCCCTGGACTCCCTGAGCACAGCAGGGCCACTGGAGGCTGAGCATCAGCCCTGACCCCGTTCCCCCGCTGATTCCCCAGGGGCTGCCACGGTCAAGCCTGCTCCCGCTGGGTGGTCACTGGGGTCAGGGCTGGGACAGGCCCACCTCAGTCCCCTCCCTCCGCCAACTCTGCCCCCTGCAGTCTTGGCTCCCCGCCTGGGCCAGAGCAGACAGACAGGTGGCTGCAGGGGAGGACGACGTGGAAGACAGCACAGCCAGCCCGGGACGCAGGGAGACCTGGCCAGGAGGGGAAGCTGAGGGCCTGGCCAGGGCGGGACGGGCACCGAGGCACGGGGCTTGGGGGTGCAGGAGCCTGTGTGAGAGTGCGTGTGTGTATGCATGAGTGTGTGTTTGGGTCTGTGTGTACGTGTCAGTGCACACATCCAGAGAAGGCATGAATCAGGCTGCAAGTGTGGCAGTGTTTACGAGTGTCAGTGTGTGAGCTTGGCTATGTGGATGTATCAATGAGTATGTGAGTGTACGCACAAGTGTGTGAGTGTGTGAGAATGAGTGTGAGTATGTGTTCGTGGGCGAGTAAGAGTGTGAACACCTGTGAGTGAGTCACAGTAGTAGGTGCATGACTGTGTGCATGACAGTGTGCGGACGCGTTTGAGTGTGAGTATGAGTGTGTGTGCGTGTGTGAAAGGAGCACAGTAGCAGCTTCCGGGAAGGCCCCTGACCCCAAGCTCGGGGAGGGCGTCTGGGTCAAGGGCGGAGCAGAGCAAGCAGCCTGACGCAGCTGGACTGGCTGCAGCCTGGGCTCCAAGCAGAGGGTCCCCCTGCTGGGCTCCTGTCACCACCTGAGCCCTATGATGTCAGCGGACAGCACGCCCCTCTTCCGCCGTGCTGCCGTCCTGTGGCTGTGTCTCCAGGGACCCTGATCGAGGCTCACTTTATTATATTTTAATTTTTCCTGACATTGCAGTCCTCCTGACCTGGTCCAGGTCAAAGTCTCTGGGCACCTGTTTCCCACGTCCTTGGCCCCGCAGCGAGTGTGATCGTCACGGTGGGTGCCAATGCTGTACTCCCTAAGGGACTCCCAGGACGCTCTTGGGAGAGAGCAGGCGTCCCAGTGAGGACGCAGCATCTCAAGGTTTGGGGACCCTTCTTCAGGGCGAAGCCTCCCTGGGCCATGAGCTCCCCACCCCCCGGGAGCGGTGGTGCTACATTTCCAGATGCTGGCTGCGGACGGGCTGCCTGGGCCGGCTGGGTGCTGGGGCCCGGCTTGCAGGTGCCGTGGGCAGAGTGGAGGTTGTCCTGTTGCAGCTCTTGCCAGCCTCACTCTGACATCACTGGCTGGCCCTTATCTTTACCCTCAGCGTCCCAATAGCAGCAAGACGGCCTCCCCGGGGCCTCTCAGAGTTGAGGGCCATCTCCTGTCCCCACACCGCGCCAGTCCCTTTGGGGGCACATGGGCCTCCAGGGCTGCGCCCGCTTCCTGCACACCAGTGCCGCCACATGCATGCGGGGGCATGGTGCCCTCCACTCGGGGTCACTGCCTGGTGTCCTCCCTGCATCCTCCTCGGTACCGGCCTTGCTCTCCCACCTGTCTGCCCGGACGTGGGTGGGGCCTGATGGGCCCTCCAGACTCCCTCATCCTTCCTCGTCCTCCTCCACCCTGGGCGGCCCCTCTCTGACCCCAAAAGGGCAGCGGGATACTGTGAGGTGGAGAAGGCACTCAGAGGTGGAGCGGCACCTCCCAACCTCTGGGAGAAGGAGGTTTGGTCCCAAGAGGACCTCTGCACCCTGGATCGGGGCTCTGGCTGGGGATCTAGGGTGAGACTAGGAGGGGCTGCAGGCCAGGCAGGTGTGTCTGAGTTGTGCACTGGGCAAGGGGTCCCCGAGTGCCTGGAGACCCTGCCCCTCCCAAGGGTGTGGACTGGGGTGGGCATCTCCCTGAAGCCAGCAGAGACAGCAGAGAGGGAGATGCTGGGGGTGTGGACCCTGCCCAGCTGCCACTGGGCCCTAGGGAGAGCAGGCAAGGGCGGGGCATGTGGGTACCTGTAGATGGGGTCCATGAAGAAGGGCGAGGGCTTGGCGTAGTGCAGCGATGGCTGCTGTGGCAGCTGCGCGGGGCACACTGTGGGCAGCCCCTCGCCAGGCCCCGGCTTCCGCTCGCCGTACACATGGTTCTTGCGGGGCTCCCGGCCGCCCCCGTTCTGACTGGCGCGGGCCCGGCTGCCAATGCTCAGGTCCAGCGGCTGCTCCTCGCCGGACACGGGGGCTGCGGGTGCCTTGGGAGTGGGGAGGATGGGCTTCGCCTCTTTTGGCTTGGTGGTGAGGTCAAACGGGCACTCGGCGCTGGGGCCACCTGCCTTGAGGGTGTCCCGGGGTGACTTTGGCTCGGCCTTGACCAGCAGGTTGTGGGCGAGGGCGCGGTCCGCGAGGGGGTAGAGGGAGTGAGGGAAGCTGGGCAGGAGCTGGAAGGGGAAGACCGAGTGGTAGGGCAGGGAGCCCAGCTTCTTCTCTTGCATCCCCATGAAGCCGGGCCCGAAGTACTTCTCCGCGATGGAAGCGATGGCTTTGATGGAGTCGCCGGGGGCGCCCGAGGCGGTCAGCAGCTGCTCCTCAGGCGGCGGGAAGAAGGAGTGCTGGGAGTAGAACACCGGCACCTCTGCCACGCTGTTGGCGGCCCCTGGGTGCAGGGAGCTGCCCCCGAACTCAGGCTTGCCCTCTGCTGGCTTGCCCTTGTCCTTGACCTTGTCTCGGTCGCTGTCCGCATCGCTGTCCAGGTCGGAGCCCGTCCCCGTGGTGGTGTCCAGGTCGGTGCCCGTGGTGGTATTGATGTCCTCGAAGTCGCTGCCGTCGGACATGTCAGGGCTCCGCGCCTTGACCTTGTCTGCGTATGCGTCCTCCAGGCGGCCCTCGAACTTCTCCTCTGGCCCCGTGGCTGCCGCGGCGCCCTGGCTGCTGTTGCTGACCGCAGACACGAGGGGCAGGGCCGGGTTGCCCAGGGGGCTGGGGAGCTTGGCGTCCTGGGTGTGGTTCAGGGGGCTCTTGAGCAGTGGCGTGGGAGGTAGCAGAGGCGGCCGGGGGTACAGGGAAGGAGGGAAGATGCCCGGGAAGCCGGGCGTGAGTGCGGGGAAGGCCCGCGGGGCTGCGGAGAAGGGCAGGGCGCTGGGCTGCGGCCGGGAGGGGAAGTACTCGTTGAAGCCCAGGCCCGCGTGGTTGAGGCTGGGGGAGGGCTTGGCCTTGTCCATCATGGGGCTGGGGGTCAAGGGCAGGCCTGGGGGGAAGAGGCTGCCCGGTGTGTAATGGCTCTTGCCCTCACAGAAGCGCCGGTGCTTGTTGAGGGACGAGGTAGTGCTGAACATCTGCCCGCAGTCCTTGCACTTGATCTGCGTGCGGCAGTCGGCGTGCATGCGCTTGTGGCGGCACAGGTTGGAGAACTGCGTGTAGGATTTGTGGCAGACCTCACCTAAAGCGTCAGCAGAAAGCAAAGACAAACAGGTATGAAATGACCTGGGAGCCCTGAGCCTGGCAGGGGTGGGATGGGGCAGGGACCAGGGCCTGGGAGCAGGCTAAGCAGTGTGTGCATGTCTCTGTGTGGGCGCAAGGCTGAACACACACATACCACATGTATGTGCATGTCCTTGTGTGTGCAGAGCTGTATGCACACACACTGTGCATGTGTGTGTGTGCAGGGATATATGCACACAAACTGCATGCATGTACATGATGCACAATACATGTGCATGCACACATAACACAAAGCACTTGTGTACGCATGTGTATGTGTATGAGAGTGTGTGTGCATTCTCCAGCAGTGCTGGTCAGGGCCCAGCACAGTCCCAGGGATTCAGAGCTCCCCATCTTCGGGGGCCTTCGAGCCAGGGCCAGGGGAGAGCCTGCTGTCCTGTTTTCTGGGGAGGGCAGTCGAGTGTGCTCCTGCACACCACCATGCCATGTCCTCTTGCTCCTCAGTGCAAGCCGGGGGAAGCATGAGCTCAGCCTGCGTCTTGCCCTCCACAGTCCTCGGCTGCCTGATGCCTGGGCCCTGGCCGGGAGGTTACCGTGCCCCCTCATCTCAGTGTCTGTTTGTGTGAACCACGCTGCCTTCCGGCTGTCTGGCTTGGTAAGTGTTTTCTGGCTGAAGGGGCATGAGCTTTGCCTCATTTAATCAAATCTTCCCCTTTTGGAGATGGTACGGGGAGAGACCTGCGGGAGGAAGGGTCTATAAATATGCCCAACCTACACACCCTTGCTGTGCTCAATCCTTCAGGGCTCTGGCAGTGGCTGGTCATCACTGCTGTCACCCTCTGAGCTGCCCAGGCCTGCGGAGGAGGGCCCGCCAGGCTAGCCCTGTGCCTGGCACAGGGACACTCAGCTCCACTCATGGCTCCCACCATGAGGCCTGCAGTGGGTAGGGTTGCAGGGAGGCTGGGGACACTGAGGCCCCAGAAGGGATAGGTCCTGGATGCTGGGGACAGACGGCAGCCGTCTCAGAGCTGGCAAGGCAGGTGGCTGTGTAGGGACAGAAAGGCCAGGCGGTCACAGTGACCTAGACCTGGGGATCTGCCCAATGGACCTCCAGGACAGGTAATGACTTCCCCTCAAAGGGTGCACGTGTGTACACGTGTGCACTCACTCACACTGCACACCCTCGTGCAGAGCGTGTGCTTATTCTTGCGCAGGCCCCTTCTGAGAAGTCCCCCAAGGAGAAGACCACTTGCTTCTGTGCACAGACACACTGTCCATCCTCCTCTTCCTCCCCTTCCCCCCTGTGCACACACACACACGCACGCACACACACCCCCAGTGCACACCTGAGCTCCCCAGGAGGAGGGGCATCACCTAGGACTGTGGTCAACGAGGTGGGGATTTGGGTGCTTCCGGGCACTGGATGTGCATACAGGTGTGACCAGACAGGTGGACACAGTGCCCAGGGCCCAGGCCTGGGCACTCAGAACTCTGCTCCTTGAGAGGCCATGGGCTGGGGTTCCCTTGCTCGCCTGCAGCTTCCCTCCCAAGCCGCCTACGGCCCTTCACGTACCCAGAGGATGCTGTGCCGTGGCCCTCAGGGTGCACACCGTGGTGTGACTCCTCATCTCCAACGCGCGTATCGCCCTCACTGAACGGGTGCCACAAATTCCACCGGGCACACCTCGGGGCTTTCCTTTTAGCTCAGTCTCCTTAGTCGAAAGGCACAGGTGCCCTGGAGTCTGACTTTGCCGGGCTGGCTGGGTGTCCCTGGCCTCTGTCTATCACGCAAGGAGCTTGTGCAGCATGGTGGTGGGCTCAGCCACCCAGGGTGCTGCAGTTCCTGGAGCTTACGTTATCGATATTGTCCAAGGGGACCTGAAGAATCTCCCTTGCCTGTGCAGAGAGGCAGCGATGTCTAGGACCGCAGTTTCCCATGCCTTAGCTTGCGTTGGAACACCGAGCTACTACTTGCACTCAGACATGCACACCCTCCCCGCTTAGCCTTCTCACTGCCCTGCCCCTAGCTCCACCCAACTCAGCCTCCCTGGGCCCCTCCAGAGGGAAATGCTGCTGCCCCGGGCGGCATGGGGAGTTGGTCACCCCACGGCCAGATGCCCCCTCTGCAGTAGGGAGGTGGCCCGTGGTGCAAAGCAGCATTTGTGGATTGGGCAGTGGGCGGACTGCTTCCTTGGCTAGGGTCTTGAGCATGGGGCACGGCCCTGGCCTCTGGGCCCTGCAGGCTCAGTTTCCTTCTCTGCCAGCTGGAGCGAGCAGTGCCCTGCTCTGTAGGGTTTTGTAAGCTCCAGTGGAACAACGCACGGCACAGGCGTGCAATGACTCGGCACAGTGCCGGTGTGATGACTCAGGAAGATGAGCATGTGACATGAGTCAGCATCATGCGTGTGTAACGACTATGTGGTGGGTGGATGTGTGTATGTGTGAGACAGAGCATGGAGGGCCTTGGTTTCCCCTCCAAGGTTTCCCACTGACTGAAAACTGCTTTCAGCAAATCCTTTCCCCTGCAACCAGGTTCAGGAGCTTGCTCCCCGACAAGCTTCCCGGTGAGCCCTGCAGCACACAGTGCCTGCTGTGACGGGCACAGGACTTTCTGGGTGAGCCGGCGGCAGATGAACCCAGCGTGAATGCACAGATCACCCATCGGGTACAAATCCCAGCACCAAGAGCAAAGCACTGACAAGGTGTGTGTGGAAATCCTGGGGTCTCATGCAACGGTCGCAGGGTGCGCGTGCGCCCAGCTCTTTTGTCTATGTAAGCTTTGTTCCCTGTGGCTGCAGGGACCCCGCCTGGGGATCCTACCAGCCACTGCCTCCTTTGTGCTCGAGCACAAGGCCCAGCGAAGCCTTGTTCACACAGGGCCGCTCCCGTCTGTGACTTCTGCCTCAAGCTGGGCAAGAGACCAAGGCTGAGCTGGGGACACCGAGGGCTGGAGCTGGGAGCAGCGGAAAGGCTGCACTTAGTCCCTTCAGGTTTCCACCTGCCCTGAGCAGAGGAACCTTTGGCTTCGAGGTCAGGATGACTCAGCGAGAGGCTGGAGTGTCGGTGACTCAGCGCGCATGAGCGCTGCCTCGGCGTAATGCGCACGGCTGAGCTCACCGGGAATCAGAGCTGCCATTCCTGTGTTGGCCCACAGGCCCCTGGACCTGATCCTGCTGACCTCTGACCCTGCGCTTTATGCCCCTAGGCTCCTCTGTAGGCCCCCAGGGCTCACTGCCAGTGTCCCTCATCACATATGCAGGGCAGCACCCATCCCTGCAGAAAGCCAGCTCTTTGTGAGACCCTAACCCTGCCCCGCCGTCCCTGGGCTAACGTGTTGTCACCGTGTTCAGTGCTTGTCTGTCCCTGCATGTGGTGGGTGCCACAAGGCCAGGGGCCGCTTTATCTGTGTTGTCCCTGGACACCTTGACCAGTGCCTGCCACACACGGGGGCTCCCAAGAGTACACTGCTCATGGAGCTCAGCCAGGAAGGGTGTGAACAGCGTGGACAGCAGGGGACCTAGGAGGCTGCCGGCCCCTCCCATAGGACACTGGGGCACTAGAACAATCCATGCCACTACCCGCTGCCTACCTCTAGCAACTGTGAAGACGAGGCAAAGGGAAGGGACCTGGAGGACGATGGCCACAAGGGCAGAGTGAGAGACGGGCTCTGAGGGCGCACTGTCCCTCAGAGGGCACCTGTAGGGCTGCAGGGACCCAGGGTCACACCAAGAGCTTTCAGGACAGCCACGAGGGATTTCTGAGCCCTCTGAATGCGGAGGAGCCTGGGCTGTCACACCCGCTGCCCTCAAGTGGTGTAGAGGGCAGTGCAGCGGCGCAGGCAGGCGCGGGCGGGGGCAACTCACATATGAAAGGTTTCACCGTGCTGTGGATGTGCTTGTGCTGCTTGAGGCCGGAGGACGTGGCGAAGGTCTTGCCGCAGTCTGGGCAGGCGTGGGCCCGTGCGCCGACGTGCTGGGAGCGGATGTGCCGCTGTAGGTTGCTGGGGTCTGTGAACACCTGGGGGGCAGACGCTGTTGGCCTGTGCCCTGCCTGGACACCCCTAGTTGGGCCCTGGGGAAGGAATCCTGGGCCTGCTTCCCTCCCGCTCCGCCCTGCCCGCCTGGGCTGGCCAGCACAGGTGTCTGCTGCAGCACTGAGCCGCTGAAGGACTCGGGCGAGCGTGCACGCCTCCTCAGCCTCAGTTTCCTCATGATAACACCTGAGAAAACCGCCCACAAGGCTGCGCAGACACAGGCAGGGACCAGCTGAGCTGAAGACCCAGGACCCACGAGGGCTTGGCTTTGGGAGCTCATCCCGGCCTCTCCCGTCTACGCTGGCTGAGGACAGAGCTGCCCTGGAAAGGACCAAGGTTCTGGTCTTGGCCCTGTCCCTCCTGAGCTGTGTGACATGATCTCTGGGACCTCCTGTCCTCACGGCCCCAGGGAAGGACACCTGCGGCCTCGGGGGCAGGCGCACACCCACGCCTGGTACCTTCACGCAGTTTTCACATTCGAAGCGCTTGCCGTTGTCGTGGGACATCTGGTGGCGGATGAGGTTGGACTTCCAGTTGAAGGCCTTGGGACACTGGTCACACTTGTACTCTCGCTCCTCCGTGTGGACGATCATGTGCTGCTCCAGGCTGTGCACAGGGACAGGGGTCACCTGGGGCCTCTCTGCTTGCCCTCTGCCCAGGACCAGAGGGCCCCGCTCCCATCAGGCTCATTCTGGGTGTCCTTTGGGGCCAGGCAGGGCCACGGGCCTACTGCAGGCCCCATGTCCTGGCCACCTCTCTGGGTGACCCCAACTTTGAGGCCAGGCTTGGGCCTAGAAACAAAGGGGTCTGGGGACCTCAACATTGCCATGAGCCCTAGAGAGGTGGCAAGGCCAGGAAGCCCAGCTCTCTGAGTGGCCTTGGCGTGCCCAGTGGGGCAGCCAGGCACAAGGAGGAGGCCAGAAGGGCTGGAGAAGAGGGTCTCCGATGCATGTGTCAGGAGTGCAGCTGCTGGGGGGCTCTCTTGGCTGAACAAGCAGCTTCTAATCCCCTCCTCTCGGGGGACCCCTGCCACTCCCCCCCGCCCCGTCCCCGGGATGACCGTTAATCTTCATGAGTGAAGCAGTAATATATCACGGCCTGTTAATTACGGGGCCCAGCCATCCATTTAGATCAGAAACGCCTGCTTCTCCGGCATTGGGAGGTTGTATCTTTTCCCTGTTGTTAATTGTGATTTATGTGTTTATGTGAAGAAAACAGGGACCCTCTTTAGAGGTGCTCACCACGCTGGGCCCCAGTGGGGATTTGCCCACACGCTTATTTTCTCATTCATCTGTTCAGGGCAGAGGGTCTGCTATCCCCGGGGAGCTGGGGACAGGATGGACGCTAACTCCCTGACGATCACAGTGGTTAGTAGCCTGACAGAGTTTTGCTGACTCTGTCCTGGAGGAAAGTGGTACAGCAGGAGGTGCCAGGGGAAAAAGTTCCTGGCTCCCTGGAGCCCAGGACTAGGCCCCCTGGTCCCCCCCCAGAGAGACCAGGGCACCCAAGGGGAGCAGAGGCCAGGTCTGGGGACAAGGGTGACCCCTTCCTGGGCTCACTGACTGAGATGGAATCGTGTGTGTGCGTCCAGAGGCAAGGCCACCCCAGGAACCCCTGGGGGTGGGTACCATGGCCCCTGTGTCCAGCTGGGGCTTGACTGTGGGGATGGCAGGTCTTCCTGGGGGCTCAGCCCTTTGACATCAGACCAGGCACACCTGCGGCTCTGACACCAGCTCTACGCCCACACTGCCCCGCAGTGCCACGTGAGCGGCTGGTCCCTGTCCCGTCTGCACCGTTCCCTGGAACCCCGGCCCCGGGGGGTGGGGGGCTGGTGCCAGTGGTGGAGCGCACCTGTACTTGTTGGGGAACATTCGCTCACAGTCCTTGCACTCGTGAGCCTGCCCATCGCTGCCGCTGCCGCCGAGGCCCTCAGGCTTGAGCTCGTCCCCCAGGTCCTCGTACAGCGCGGCCCTCGCCGAGCCGCACGTGTACTTCTTGTGGCGCCGCAGGTCCAGCTTGCACTGGAAGAGCTCGTCACACTCGTCACAGCGGAACGTGGGCTCCTCTGCAAGACAGAGAGTGGGGAGGTGGGCAGGGCAGCGGGGACCAGCCATCCGCCACCCTTTCCCCCGGGGCCTGCGCCCACCCCAGCACCCCTGCTTGCTTCCTTCCAGCTTCACCCTGGGCCCTTGGGTGGCTGTCCGGGGGGAACAGGGCGGGGAACCCGACCTCCGCACTGGAGGGAAGGCTGAGCCCCACGGCCCCTCCCGCGTCTCAGGCAGCCTCCTGGGCCTGAGGAGGCCCTGCCTGGGAGTGGAGAAGGAAGCCAGGCCCGGCGCTTTGTTTATGAATCAGGAGAAAAGACGACAGAGCTCCGACGCATATAATAAATTATTGTCGTCAAGGTCAAACAAATTAAAAGGGGGGCAGCTATTATTAAGTTTACGAGGCAGCATCCTGACCACAGGGCCAAGCCAAACAATCGGCCTGGAGCCGTATTCCCTGTGGGGTGGGGGTGGGGGTCCCACCGTGCCCCTGCCCACAGCCGTCCACACAGCAGCTCCTCCCTAAGGCCGGGTCCCCACCGCAGGGGACCCCGCATCCCACCCAGGCCTGGAAAGGAAACACCTGCTCTCAGCTCTCACCCAGACGGGCTGAACGGTGAATCCGTGTGCATGAGCGTGCAGCTGTGTGAATGTGTGCACATGTACAAATGCGTATGCACATGTGTGAACATCCCAGCCTACCTGCACCTGTGTGTATGCATCTTGCATGACTGTGTGTGCATGTCTTGCATTGGCACCCATTTGTGTGAGCATGCATAGGGACTGTGTGCACGTGTGTAAGTATGTGTGACTGTTTGGGGCATGTATGGATCTGGGCACATGTTTGTATGTTCACTGCATGTATACTTTCCATGTGTGCTTATGTGTGTTTCCATATGCATGCATGTGTATTTGGGTGCTCTCCATGCACGTGTGTGCGTATTCCATCTGTGATTGTATACGTGGGTGACTGGTGTGTGTGCTGTGTGTACTCCTGTTTTTATGTGCACATGGATGCAAGTGTGAATGTGTGTGTGAGTGTGCACACACAGGATTGGCCTGCACCCAGCACTGAGCAGAACCTTAATAAACTGGGGCTGAGCGTTGGCTGCAAAGGCCTGAACCGAGGCTCAGGGACAGAGGCAGGCAGAGGAGATGGGGCAGACAGAAGGGGCCACCTGGAGCATGGGCCGTCCAGAGTCCTAAGGAGGGGCCTGGCGGCATGACTGTCACCAGTCATGCACTTCCCTGCTGATGGGAAGCTTCCCTGAGCCCACACGTGGAGTAGCTCTTTGGTGCTGTCTCCGGCCACACCTGGCACCACTACTGATGGGCACCGTAGCCCCCGCCCCAAGTCGTGGATGCCCAAGAGGAATCGTGGGGCTGGGCTCTGAGATGCTACTGCAGGGACAACACCCACCCTGACTCTGGTGCCACTTGCCAGCTCGACTTTCGGCTGCATCTTAGGACAAGGGGCAAAGGTTTGGGCGGCAGGGAAGGGCTGCCGGGTGTCCGTGTGGGGGGCGAAGGGGCAGGAGCTACCCACGGCCCGTCAGATCTCAGCATCGCGGGCTCTGGGCACCCTGGCCCTGCGGCTCACCTGAGCCTGCACCAAGCCAGAGGAACAGGCGGCTCAGAGTCGGAGGAACCCAGCTCCACCTGTGACCCCGGTGGGCGGGGCTGGGAGGTGGGCTCTGCCCCAAGGTCTCCAGGGAAGGCCACCCCAGCAGTCCCGGGAGAGCCCAGCAGGGAAAACCCTTGCAGGCCCTGGGCTCATCCTCAAGTGCTGGTGGGACCTTGGTAGGCTCACGGGTGGGCAGGAGGAGGGCAGGAGGGTTCTCACTGCAGGAAGAATGCCCGCTGGGCCTGCGGATGCTGCCTTCCAATGCAATACCAGCCTGCATCTCTTTCAGGAGTCGGGATGCCGGGCGTGGTGGCACACGCCTGTAATCCCAGCACTTGGGAGGCTGAGGCAGGAGGATTATTGCGAGTTCAAGACCAGCCTGGGCTACAAAGTGAGCTCAAGGCCAGTCTGAACTGCAGAGCGAGACCCTGTCTCAAGAAATGACAAAAAAAGGAGTCGTGGGGGCACACGATGCCAGCCCCTGTGGCCTGTGTGCCTGCTCCATGGGCAGACACCGTCCCACAATGTCACGGTGCACATGCGTTGCACTGTGTCCCTGCTTTGTCTCAGGTCAGCGCGGCAGGGGGATGGAGGGACTCACCCAGGGGAGGGGCAGAGCCCATGTCACAACCACCCTTGTGTTACGGGTACACAACACGGCCCCACGAGCACCTGGGGTGCTCATCACGCCCCCTCCATGGCCTCCCCTCGTCATCAGAGGCTCAGACTTGCATTTGAGGGGCAGCCCTGAGGGTCTGAGCACAAAGCGCCCCTCCTGGGCCCCCCTGAGCTGCTCCTGTGGGCTGCAGAGGCCAAGACAGGAGGGACCACCGGTAGCGGGTGAGTCAGAAAGATGCCTTCCTGTTGGGCCTTTTCTGGACCCAACTAAAAGTAATCAGAAAGTTGAGATTTGAAAGAAAGACAAGAGCTAGATGTGGCAGTGGGCGCCTGTAATCCCAGGACTCTGCAGGCTGAGTCAGGAGTACCCCTGCAAGTTTGCGACCAGCATGGGTGATGCAGTGAGACCCTGTCTCAAAAACAAACAAACAGAAAGAACAAAGACAAGAAGAAATGCTGCTTCTACCTATCAACTAATTTTTTTTCTTCTGATTTGGAATTAAGATGAACAATAAGACTGTTGGAAAAAAAAATAAAACTGTCAGCATTTAGAATGAACACTCAGCCTGATCCAAGCTGATGCAGTGGAGGGGGCACTCGAGACGGAGCTGACCTTGGTGACAAGCTTGCCCTCTTCCTCCTCCAGCTGCAGCCCTCCGTGGAAGGGCAGGGCAGGGGACAGGACCTGTCTGACTTTGCCACCCAGGCACGGTGTAGATGGGTCTCTCAGCTCCCCGCAGGCAGGGAGAGTGGCCCCGTGCCTGGGGCCTGCTGGGCAGGAGCCTTTCATTTCTCAGGATGAGGAATTCCATTTTAAAGAAACAGGAGGCAGCACTGCGATGCCCTGACGCTACATCAGGGTGCCTGGGTGCGTCACTCACCTTCTCCTGGGCTCTACACAGCCCTGGCGCCCTCTTGACTGGACAGTGAAGTAACTTGTTATAGAGCTTTTGACACAGAAGCCAATCTGAAGGCTGATTATCCTTACTTTCCTCCCCAGATCCTGCCGACTGAGGGGCTCGCATGGCTTCCGCTCTGCTGCCACCTGTGTGGCTGCTGGGACACGTTTGGGTTTTTGGGTCCTGGAGACTGAACCCAAGGCCTTCTCACCAAGCTACATTCCTAGCCCTTTTTTATTTTGAGACGAAGTCTTGCTAAGTTGCCCGGGCTGGGGTTGAACTTGCGATCCTCCTGCCTCAGCCTCCCAGAGTGCTGGCTTTGGGATGGTGTTTTTCAATGGAGTCACAGCTCTGCAGGGGCACTCAGCTGCCTGGCCGACCATGGACTCCCTTTACTCCTGGCTGCCTGGATGTGACCACCCGCCCCCGTGAAGCCCCCCTCCCCCCACAAGCACACAAAAGAGCTATCTGCTGGAAACCGAACCCTCCGCATGCAGATGCGGTGGGGGTCGCGGGCTGGGGCGGAAGTCCCACCTTCCACGCGACCCAAAGCGCACCACGCTGCAGCAGCCTGCGTCTCGCCTGTCAAAGCTGCCCCTTGCTTGTCTAGCTTAAGTTCCAGCAGCAACTTTCACGGCCGAGCAGGAACAGAACAGAAAAATAAATCAGTGGCTAATGGCTTTGAGAACGGAGGGGTTCACAATTACCCGGCATCCACATGCTAATCTTCAACTGCAACCTCAAAAGAGCTCAAGAGCTACTCCAAATTCCTGCAGGGATAAGGGGCCGGCTGCATTTAGCTGGGGCCGGTGGAAAAGATTTTTTTATGATAATTATCTTAGTGAGGAACGTTTTTGCATTTTCCTTCTGCACAATTCAGAGTTTAGCTGGGGGTGGGGTGGCTGTTGGGAGTCAAAGAAGCGACCTTGACAGCCAGGGAAGAAAAGTCAAATATTTGATGTTGGACTATTATGTGTGGGAAGCAATTAGCCCACGAGCGTTTGATAGATTATTAGGAAAATGTAGACCCAGGTTATTTAGTGCTGGGGGTTGGGGCTGGTGGGGAGCAGGAACTGAGGTTTTTAAAAACCTTTTGAAGAAAGAAATTTCATTGTACAAATGAAACCCCACAGCCGAACACTCTCTTTAAGTTAAGCAGATTTATCTTCTGGAGTCTCGTGTGTTCTCCAAGACTCACAGGTCTTTTCAACAATTATTTTAAGGAAAATGAGACCTCTCTCTTGCTACCCAGGTTTTGGCAATTTATTTTTCTTTTCTCAACAGCCTAATGAAAACCACGCTTCAGCAGAAAGGACAGACAGGGCCCAGCTGGTGACATTGTCCTTCTGTGCTGATTTCCTTTTGACAGCTTGGGGCCGTGAACCGCTGCTGCCTGGAGGAGGGGCCCTGGCTGCTGTAAACTGAGGCACGTTCTCTGGGTCTGGGCTCACAGCCTTCCTGCCCGCTCCCCAGGCAGCTGTGCGACCCCTCCCTGCGAAGTCAGAGTGGCTCTTGGGGAAACTCACAAGTGGTGTTAATCATTAAGCCTGTGCATTAGTGGGAGGAACAGACCCCTGTCCCTCTCTCTGACCTGAGCAGGAATCTGCAGTTCTGGGGACAGCTCCAAGGAGAGGGGCTCCTCTGTCCACTGGTGGGGTCTCAGCAAAGGCAGGATGGTCACACAGGAGCCCCAGAGCTGCCCTCCACGGCCAACAGAGCCTTCCTCCAGCCCCCAGGTCGAGGACCCTATGCTTTACGATGTGAGGAAGGCGCCCAAGCCTGTGTTTCAGAACCCCAAGTCCAGCTGTGGCAGCACATGACTGTAACACCAGCGCTCTGGGAGGCTGAGGCAGGAGGACCAGGAGTTTGAGCCCCGCCTGAGCAATGTAATGACTTAGCAAGACCCTGTCCAGAAATCAAAAATAAAAAAATTGGCTGGGGATGTAGCTCAGAGTGAAGGCCCTGGGTTCAACCAATGCCCAGTACTGCAAACAAGGAAGAAAGGAAGAAAGAAAGAAAAGAAATCCCCAGCCCTGGTTTGCTGTAAGGCTAGCACTTACTCAAGCATGTCTCAGAGGTACTTGGGTGCGGACAGACAGAAAGGGGACCCACGGGTCCCAACCCGACAGGCAGGCATTGCCTTGCAACGTAAGCAGGAGTTTCCGGAGCTTTTCAAGGCTGGGAAGGGTTTAAGGACTCCCAACCCACTATCAGGCCTGGCCCAACGCTAAACATGCCCTCCACCAAGTAAAATTCCCTCCAACACATCTTTTGGATTTTAACTTACTGAGGGGAGTCACTTTGAAAGATGCCTATATCATCCTCCTCTCAGCTCCATGACAGAGGCTGCCAGGCCACACTCCACTCCTTTCCGTGCCCCCTCCCCAGTTCCCTCCCTGTCCTTTTCTGCAGTATTGGGAAAGGCTGGTAATAACAAGGAGGACACCGTCTAAAAAGTTCACCAGAAGCTGCAACACTGCAAAGACATCCACATGACCCCCATCTGCCATTGTGCAAAGCCCTTCTGAGACTCAGGACCCAGCTCTGGGGCCCCAGGAAGGAGATAGAAGTAGGTGGGCACTCTGTCCGTGCCTGGGTCTGGGGGCGGCAGCTGCGATGCCCGTCACCGGGTCACCGGGTCACAGCGCTAGGTGACAGAGGGCGGGCAGGCGGGGTCTTACCGTCCAGGCTGGGCGGCACTGTGCGCAGGGAGTAGGCACCCTCCTTCACGTGCACCAGCAGCTCCTCGCCCGGCTCGATGTCCTTAATGACTCTGTAATAAATCTAGGACGAGAGACCAGAGAGCGCGGGTCAGGCCGGGGCTGCTGGTCCCCGCCTGCAGAGGCACTTGGCATGCTCTCAGTCCAGCAGGCCACCGGGCGCGCGTCAAGGAGGCCGGGCCGCAGGCCACTTGACCTGGCTTCTAATTGCCACTAAGAGGTTCCCCTCGGAAGTTCTGCAGCGCTTGCTCAGAAGGACTGAAGCCCCTTTTAATTGGTTCCATCCTGTTTTGGGCTATTGACAGAGAGGGCACAGAATTAAAGAGGTGAGGGTCAGCGTCAGTGTCCCTGCCGCCCGGATCTGGGCTGCCGTTCTGCCTTTCTCATCAACACGGGCCGAGTGGGTGCCCTGTGCCAAGGGGCTGGGGACTCTTTGGGAGGCTGGCATGAGCTAGGCATAGGTCCTCACTCAGTGGCGCCGCTCTGAGCCATGCGCCGCTTGCCACCTTGTCCCCTGAAGGCTGACGTCCCCTTGGAGGTGCTGAAGTGGTGGCTGTGAAGGAGGAACTGGCAGATCAGAAAGGGAACCCACCACACGGGGCACTCAAGCGGTGCCTCGGGGACAACTGGCTTCCTAGGACCTGCCAGACTCTGCCTCTGCAGACGCCAGCCACACTGGCCTCGCTGGGCATGGCTGAGCGGCACCTGCCCCGCAGGCTGGAGGCAGCGGACACCTGGGGGTGTCAGCTGCTAGGGCAGGTGGACGTGTGGGGCTCTCCTGAGGTCAGGAGCCAGGCAGCTCCCAGCAGCCCAGAGCCTGGTCCGAGGATGCACAGGGGCTGGACAGAAGTCTGGAAGAGGCCACTGGGCACAATGAGCTGTCCCCAAGGTGGGGGGGCTCCTGCCGCATTGTCCTCATGGAAGAGGGGCTGAGGAAGGAAGGGACCAGCAGAGGTAGGAATGTTCTCCAAGAAGACAGGGTTGGCCTGGACTCAGGGACGGGGGCTCCAGGGTTGGTGCAGACACCCAGGCAGGCTGGGGCTGAGTTCTCACAACGGAGAAAGTCTGTTCCAGGAAGAAACCCTGGAATCTGACTTGCTCCAAATGGGGGCTGAACCGAGACCCACGTGGCCGCCACCCCCAACTTGTGGACTCTGTGACGGGCAAAGTGACACCATGAGCTTCCAGCAGGCACCACGGACACTGCACCAGGGCCCCGCGCTCCCTGGCTGCTGTCCCAGGACCTTGACCTGCATTTCAGAATCAGAACTGGACCCACAGTCAGAGACAGGGCAGGAAACCCTCAGGGTCCAGCCAGACCCTGAGAGCAGCTGGGCCGCTCCCCCATGGCTCGGTGTGGCCAGAGCTGGATAGAGGTAGAGGGCCGGGGTGGAGGGTGGCTTGCACCCGGGTTTAAGGTTGCCTGGTCCCCACTCTCTCTGTTGTCCCACCAGGCCCCAACATCCAATTGGCCTGGTGACCCTGGCGCTGTGCCACTGCTGCCCTCCCTGGCGTCTCCTGGGAGACACCCCACCCAGTGTCACACACCCTGTCCACCTCCTTCTCTCTGGGCTGCAGGCACTCCCAGTGCTCAGCCCCCCAACGGCCTCAGTCCTTCCATCCTCTCTGAGGGGTGCATGGGCCCTAGGATCTCACCCCTCCACTCTCAGCTCATGGCCTCAGGACCCCCACCCTGGCTCAAGGACAGGAGCCTCGGGAACCCGGATCATAGGGGTGGACGCTGATGGAAACACAGGCCCCCTCCCCAGGAGTCTGCTCCTCTAAGGAATCCTCTCCTCTCCCAGGTGCCCCTCCTCTCCCTGAGCTCCTCCTCCCTTGGGCTACCTTTCTTCCTCCCGGGGCACCTGTGGAGTACACAGGGAATACAAAGCAACAACACTACCCGCAGAGACTTGGAGCCAGGACAGAATGAATCGCTATTAGTGCGCGTCTCAGGGCCCCGGGAGGGGTGGGTGCCTCCACGGGAGGCGTACGGGGGGACAGGGCCTCCACTGAGCTGACGGCACGAAGCGCAGGGTTCCAAAAGGCGCGAGAGGGGCTGCGGCGGGAGCCCGTGCTGATTCTCAGACAAAGGCCGGCAGGGCCAGGTCGGAGGGGCTGGCGCTCCCAGCCTCCAGGGCGGCGGGAACAATTGCAGTGAACGGTCAGCAGCCCTTACGCGTCCTGCCCGTGATCACGCTGGCTCCTGGCGGCTGAGCCTCCCGGACAGACTGAGCTTTCACAAGGTGGGAGAAAGTGTCCAGGAAGGAGAAACCCGGAGTCTGACTTCCGCCAGCCTGGGGCAGCGTGCGCGTCCTGGCGTCCTCTCCTCGCAGGATCTGAGGGCAGGAGCCTCTTAGCAACGGCTAAGGTTACCCGCGCCAATAAACGTCGGCTCTAAACGGCTCTAAAAAATAATGGTGCCAAACAGACAGGGCCTGCAGCGGAGCCCTGCTTCCTCCGCTCAGCCTCCCTCCGCGGCGACGACGGCTTTATTGAACTTGGGCGAACACCGCGGGACAGAGGTCCTCGGAATTATAACTGTACTTAGCACGACCTGGCCTATTTTATTCCTCTTTTATCACTTTCCAGACACAAAGAGGAGGTCCTTGGAGGCGAACGAGCTGGAGGACAAATAACCAGCCGCCCTCTTCCCAACAGACAGAGAGAGAAACTGCCTGGGGGAAGCTGGTACTGGAACTGACCAGCGCCCCCGCCCCCCGCCCCCCGCCACATTCTGAAAGGCAAAGAAATATTTACAACACCTATCAGCTTTTAGATGCTGTCTCCTTAGGGTCCCTGGAGTGTTTTCATAAATATCAGATGAGTTCACAGGGAAAGACACTACTCTTGCCTACAGGACTTAAGTGTCACAATTTTCATTGCTACTCCATCTAAGAATTTTCACATTTCCATCCATGAAATATGCCCGGATTTCCCGAGGCTGAGATGACCAGCGGGTGACTTCAGAGCCAGTGGGCTGAGCACAAGTGCCCGGCACCACTGTCTCCTCCCTGGAACACATGATGTTTTTTAATCCATCAAGTACACTTTCCACAACTTCATTTTTCCCTCTTGCTTGACTCATCTAAGAAACTGGAGAGGCTCGTTGGGATAAAATAGGTGAAATGTCTTTCCCAGCACCTTTCTTTAAAAAAACAAAGTCTCTCACCATCCTGGACCTCGGAGTTCACGAGGCTTGAACTGGGAAAGGCTGGCCTGGCTCTGAGGCGTCTGTCACCAAGATGTGCTCTGAGAAGTGGAATCTGAGTTCTCTAAAGTGATTGCTGTGACAGTCCTCCAGCAACCCAGCCTGCCTGCCGCCTGTCCCGCCGAGAGAGGATGCTGGTCTCAAGGTTATCCCGGGGCTTTTCTCTTGGGCATCTCAGCATCTCTGAGATTTGCTGAGCTCCTTGCTGTCTGCAGCCTTCAGGGACCATGGGAGCTTCGCTAACTGCTCCCTTTGCCCAGACCGTGATCCACGTCCGTCTGCAGAAGGTCCACACCCGGAGCTCTAAGGCCGGCAGAGGACTGAGAATTTGATGTTTAGAAAACAACTCAAGGTGCTCCCAGACCTGGCAGGGATGGCTCGGTGGGACCAATGCGGGGGTCTTCATGTCTGTTTCCCGCGTGCAGCCTTCGCCTGGCCTGTTTTGTGGCTGCTTTCTCAGAGCTGGGCAGGAGCGAGAGGACGGCAGGAGCTAGGGCTCGGGGGTTTCGGGCTAGCCACCTTGGGCAGGCTCCACTGCATGGGCCACCCTGGGATTGGCTGTGCTCGTCCCATACATCTCTGAAGCAATTTTATTTGTGCCCAAATCTTTATTATTTTGTTGCTGTATATTCTGCCTCCTTCCCAGCAGCTCATGGCTTAAAAAAATTTCTATGCATTTATTCCTTTCTTAGGTGTGCAGTTTGGATCCGAATTGTAAAAGTATAAATTATTCGCCTGTAATTAAATTGTCAACATTCTTCAGGTCTTCTTCTGATAAAGGTTTACATCTGAGTAAGAAGGATCAGAACACACATTCTGACAAATGGTTTTTGTATTGTGAAGGTACAGCCGAATTTAAACATTTTGTTCTCCCAAATGAGGACTAGTTGGCTCCCGAGAGGACTCGGCAACATGTGACACTTTTTTCTGAATCAAAACAAATTTGATATATTTTGAAAGTCTTTTGTCACCTGGTTAAGAAATGCTACAACTAGTCCCTCCCCTCCCCTTTCCTTTTCAAAGAGAAAATTGTGCCTAATTGTTGCAGGCTACCATTTGAGCCGACAAAATTAAAAATTTATGATTTTTAATTTTAAAAATGATGTAGGATAAAAGTAAAAGGAGTAAGGAAATGTCAGGGGGTCAGCGCGAGATGATGGATGTCAGACGCCCCCCGTTTAAAATTCCAGCGCTAGCAGGTCACACGCCCTGACAGGGAAGAGGGGTCCAGGTCGGGGCCAAGGAAACGAAAGCAAAAGAGAACCGGCTCGGCCGCAGGCTGCGATCCACCGAGCAACACCAGGTTTTCATTAAAAACAAGAGCTGGCTTCGTTGAGGATGTGGTGCAGCGTGGTGCTGGCCCGTCTTCCGAACAAACGCCTTCGGTTCCAGCTCCCAGGAGGGGCTGCCCCGGGACCGCTCTGCTTTGGAAACATACAATCCCTCGTGTTCGGCACCATCAGTGGAGGCCGGAGTGGCTTCAGCCTGCTGGCCGTAGGCTCCATGTGGCGCCCTGGCCCCTGCCCTGCCGAGGGACCTGCTAGTGTCCTTGGAGACCGTCCAGGCAGGGGAGGTGAACGCTGCCCTTCTGCACTGGGCTGCTGTGAGTAGCTGGAGAGCAGCGGGGAGGTGTGCGGGGAGTGCGATCGCAGCCCTGCCCTGCTCCCCTGCCCCGCTGGCCGCTGGCCACCCCGCCACTGACATTCTTGCCCTATCGAGGCAATGTGAGACAGAGCAAAAAACCACGCTGCAAAGGGGCCCGGCCGCCCCCGCTTCCTCCTGTGGGCACTTGGCGTCCAAGCCCTTGTTTTCTTTCTTAACATGAAAACAAGTTTAGGAACAGACCCTGTCTGTGTCCCCCAGGCGTTTCAAACCCACTCATTTGCTCATAATTGCAGGAGAAAGAACCACCCAAGGGTGACCTGCTGTCCCAAGTTCCCCACAGGGAGAGGAAGACGTGGTGGCCAGGCAGGGCAGGGGCGGTCTGAAGCACCCAGAGCACATGCAGGCACTTGGGGCAGTTCCCTGCCCTCGGGTTCAGCAGGACGGAAGGAAATTAGGAGCCAATGTGCCCAGTGTATGTGGGGCTCCAGGCTGACCTGACCTCCCCAGCACCCGGGACGGAGCCCTGCTTCTCTGCCTGTGCAGGACGTGTTGTTCCCACTGGATGGGCCACCCCAAAGCTTTTGCGTTTGGAAGCAGGGTAGCACTGGCCACGGAAGGGCCTTGTGTGCCCTTGGCCAAGGGCTGGTCTTTACGGACAGAAACCACAAGTCAGCCTTCAGGTGACGGGGCCAGGCCCAGGAGGAAATCGTGGCCCACCGTGGCCTCCGCTGCCGCCTGGCTCCCCTGTCCTGAGCCACAGGGAGGGCCGTGGTGAGTGCGAGGAACAGGCCTGGTCCCTCCTCCTGAGGTCCCTTGGGCAGAGGTTCTTGGAGTCACAGGGCCAGGCGGGGCATCTCCGTGCCTGACAGAAGCAAGGGCCAGTGCCAGCGAGCGCTCTCCTGCAGCCCCACGGCCCTGGGGGCAACGAGGTCATGGAGATGGAACCGGCGATGGTGGGGTACGGAGGCTGGCAGGTGCAGCTGTGCCACCTGCCCTGTATCCTTCCCGCCCAAGGACCAGGAAGCGGCGTGTTAGAGGGAGGCGTCCAGGAAAGGTGGTGGATGGCGCCGAGCCCCTCCGTGCCCATTGCTTTTGCTCACGTCCTGGTCCCCCAGCCCCACATGGCTGCACAGGGGCAAGAAGCCGCCCTCTTCTGGGTGGAGGCAGGTCAGCAGTGTCTGGCGAGGTTGGGCGAGGGCGGGGGCTGATGAGCAGGTCCCAGGCAGCTGTGAGCTGCGCAGAACCCAAGCTGGTGTGTGGCATTGCTTCCACGGCCCAGGTCCTCAGCCTCCCCTGTGTCCCAGCGTGTGGGTCTCTATCAGGACATGGACACAGGGAGGCCAGGCGTCTGAGTTCGCCCGTGGCCTGCGTGCTACAAGCGGCAGGTTCCTGGTCGCACCGCAGTCCACGTGCCATCGCATCCTCTGATCAGTGGCCTCGCTGCTCCTCTGTGTGGGAGGGCTTGCCTCCTCACTGCTGTGGCTTCCAGAACATTCTCTGAAGATGCCGAGAGCCTCTTCTGTCGGGCTCACCTCCAGGGAACTGGGACTGAGCTCCTGTGTTTTGAACTTCAAGTCTAGGCTCGTGCCTTTCTGGCTGTTGATTTTCCCTGCTGAATGCACTGGGCAAAGTCAACGCTTCTCTGTGAACGTGGATGTTCTGACACCAGCCCTTTCCCTCTGTGTCTGTGCTGCAGTGGATGTGGTGTGCATGTGTGTGCGTGCACGCATGTGCGCATGCGTGTACACTACAGGAAAGGTGAGAGCTTGTTCTCTGAAGTGTGTTTTTGTGTGTGAGACAGATTGTTCACTTACACATGTGCATGCGTGTGTGTGCATGCAGGTACGTGTCTGTGTGGGGGTGTATGTGTGAATGTGTATGTGCACGTGTGTGTGCACATGGTGGGTATGTGGTGTCCATAGCTACTCGGAAATCCTGGCAGAAGCCCTTGGGATCATGGAAATCTGAGAAGCCCTATTAATATCATGTAATATTTCCTTCTCAAGGAAGCTCTGTCTTCGAAAGAGAATTCTGTGTTTGAAAATATTTTTCATTATTAATATTTGAGGAAAGTTTTTATTTAGCCCCACAGAGGGTCAAAGCAGCTTGTGTGCCTCGCCAGTCAGGACCAGGAAACGGAAGTGCTTTGTGCTGAGGCTGCAGCCGTCCCCGAGAGAGCGGCTCTGCCTCTGGGAGACCACTTAACAAGGACTGCGAGTCTATATTCCTATTCTGAAATATATTTCTGAAAGCTGCTTCGTTCAAGCAACAAATAGGTACTGAGAACCTATGGGTTTCCGAAAGCAGTTCTTCATATTATTAGAGTATAAATGTTATTTGAAAGCAAACACATTCTGCAAATTGCTCACTTTCCTCAGGTAGCTGAAATTCTGAGCTGGGATTTGGGCCGGAAGCGCAGTGGCCTGCACCCTTTTGCACCCTCCTTCCTGGCCAGCAGTCTCCTCTCTGGGCTTTGGAGGCCACTGCCGCGTGGTTTGTCAAGTTCAGAGGTGCAGCTCTGGGGAGACACTGGCGGGAATCTGGGGTGACACCTGGTGTCCCGCCGTGCTATGAGGGGGTGTCCCCGAGGACAGGGTTCCTCTCTCCTTCTGCTCAGACCTTTCCCTCTGCTGTGGACCTTCAGGGATTGCATTTGCTTAAATGTGCACCCCGAGTTCCTCTGGGGGGGCATCACTTGGCCCGTGGAGAGTGACCCGAGAGGCTGCGTGGGAGAGGGACCCACCAGGTGACAGCCAGTGGAGCTCGGGGGAGAGGCCACGTGCTCCTCTGTAAGCATGGCGTTCGGAGGGGGCCGAGAGGGACACACACAGGGTCAAATGGAAGGGAGCTACAGAGCAGGGCTGTCTCTCGCCTTCCTGGCAGAAAGCATTTCCATCCTCTGGTCCCAACACCGGGTGGACAGTTTGCAAAGCAGTTGCTTCCATTTGGACCCCAGGTGGAGCTCAAGTAAAAGCTTCCCTGAAAAATTCATAATAAAACAGATTCTTGAGGACAAGCTTCTCTCTCTCCCTCCCCCTCTGAGATCTTGCTAGGTAGCCCAGGCTGGCCTAAACTTGAAGTGATCCTCCTGCCTCAGCCTCCTGAGTGCTAGGATTAGTGTGTGCCACTATGCCCACCTAAGACAGGCTTTTCTTGAGAAGATCACATCTGTTTGAATAGCTCACCTCACAAATACACCTACCTTCTTGCTTTGGCTTAGCTTAGAGTGCTTTTACTCCCTAAATAAAACCCCATGTCCTCTCCTCTGACCTGCACCTCACAGACGCGGCCCTGCCCGGCCCTGCCCGGCCCTGCCCGCTCCTGCATTGTCCCCGGCCCCTCCAGCAGGCCCTGTGCAGATTCCCAGTGGGCTCGTGCTCCGGGGCACTGTGTGCCTTCAACCTTGACTCCTTCGTTGGGTTTTACTATCATTCGGAAGCAGTTTTTGTTCTGTTTGGTTTTGTTTTAGTTTTACTTTAATGTTTAAAGTTATCCTTTTACTTTAGTTCTTTTGCTGTATTCTATCTTTAATTCTTTTGCTGTATTCTATTTTTGAAGCTTTTTTTTTTTTCCCAAAAGTTTTGGTTCTCACTGAAGCCCAGTGGGGGCAGATCCACGCCCTGTCCAGAGCCGGCTGGTGTCCAGTGTCCCATGGAACAAACTGCCTGGTTCCTACTGAGTCCAAGGGCCAGGAAGGAGGCTGAACTGAGTGGGGAGCATGGCCAGGCCTCCCCAGGGCTCTCTTGCTGAACTTCTGAACGCAAAATATTTGTTTAAAGTCAAAGGCTTGAGCTACCTTTAGCAGCTTTCGTGGCTGCTGGAGGAGGCGCCTTGTTGACGTGGTCTTTACAAACATAGTCTAAAGCAAGTGAACCCTTTCCTTGAGAGTGAAATCTCACATGGAGCCCTAGGGTCTAGGCAAAAGCAAATAGCTCTCCAGAAGGGGATGGGAGTCCTAGCTCCCCACAGGGACCTAGACACCAGGGGTCCCAGGGTGAGAACCGCCACTGGGCAGAGCTAGAGTGTGGCCAACCTCCAGGGCCAGCTGCAAACTCACAGGGAAAGGGAGAAGTGGCAACCAGCTGCCTTTGGGCACTGGAGAATCTGTTTCTGGTCTCCAGGGCAACCTGTGGGCCTGGGGTGGCTTTGATAAGTCCCGGAGCTTGAGGAGCCAGGGAACCAGTGGCGGTCATCAGCCTTGGGAGCTGGGAACAGTATGGAAGGAGCCCCCAGCCCTGGCACAGCCTGGGCTGCAGTCAGAACTGTATGCTCGCGAGATTCCCAGGTGGCTCCATTGGCCAGAATCTAGTGCCAAGACAAAGCCCTGCCCCTGGCAGCCTGGGCGGGCTGTGATCCTGATTCTCGGGGACTCCAGGCAGTAGGGGCTGCACGTTAGCCTGGCCTGGATGAGGACGCCCCGAGCAGCTCCTCAGCTGGTGGCCGCACCCTTCAGGCAGGGGTCTGGCACATTTGTTCCCAACCCTTATGCCTAACAGCATTTGTAGGGAAGGTCAGCCTGCGGGCCGGGACCCCACCTGCTCCCTCTTCCAACTGCGCTTCATCTCAAATGCATCATCGTTCAGCAACAAGCACTGTGGGCCTCAGGCTGCCGACCCACGGCTCCCACAGAGCGGTCCCAGGCAGCTGAGCTCCCCAGAAAGCCAGTGCAGGCCAGTTGTCAAACGGCCACCCCATGGCACGACAGGTCTCGGCAGAAGACACCAGCAGAGGCTCAGCTGCCCCTCGCCTTGGTGCTGTGTCCCCAGGACCAACGCCAAGGTGCAGAGGCCCCGCATCAAGGCTGGACCTACCTGCTCGTTGATCTGACACATGGTGAGGTTTTGGTCGTCACAGGAGCATGCCACGCGGATGTATTTCAGCCAGCTGCCGGCCCCCGTCTGGCCAGCATCCACACAGAACTTCTCGCTGCCCAGGTCCTCGGAGATCTGTTGGGGAAGAAGCACACCAAGGGTCAGAGCGCCCCACAGGCTCCTGGGATGACAGCAGGTGGACGCCTGGTCTCCGCCAGCTCCAGCTCCGGGCCACCCAAACGCCCAAGCCCAGAGCCTCTGCGAGCAGGCGGAGAAGCAGAGGGCAGTGTTTTCTCTTCTCACCGAGCAGATCACTGCCCTGACCACTCGAGGAGTCTCTGGCGCTGCAAAACCTCCCCAGCGACGCGTCCCAGGTGTGAGAGAGCAGACGCCGCTGCATCTAAGCCCAGGGCCCCCTGCTAAGGACAGTTGAGTGCTGGGCTAGAAAAAAGTGCTTTTGAAGGTAAGGGTGTCACTGGGGTGTACAGCTGTGCAGAGGCTGTGTGTCCCTGGGTGTGTCCATGTGTGTGCGTGTCTCCGTGAGTGCACGCTTGTGCCTGTGTGTGCACGCTCACGTCAGCTTGCACATCACCCCGAAAGGAAGAAAACCGGGTCATTTCCTTAAAACTGGAAAGTTTCAGTTTGACACCCAGTGACATGCAAATGCCCAGCTCTTCTCACCACGCCCGCCCGCCCGCCCTCCAGTGCTTTTGCGCTGGGGCCTGGCTGGCTTTTGTTCTTGCTGGTGTCTTTTGAGTGCAGCGAGACAGACAGGTGGGCGCCCCCGCCTCAGGCTTGCTTCTGACCGGCAATGTGCCCCCGCCTCTGAGAAGGGTTCTCGAGAAGGCCTGGTCCGCTGGACCTTGGGGCGGCAGCCGCAGCTAGGGTCCTGCCTCCTGCTCTCCGCCTCCCACCTGCGCTCCTCGGTGCCAGCTGTGGTCCTGAGCCCAGAGCCTGGGAAGCTAGCAGCATCCTGTGTGGCTTCCTGGGCACAGAGCGGGCAGGGGGTGGGAGTCAGGTCGGTGGGCAGGGGCTGGGGCCACCCTACGCTGAGGTCCTGCAAGTAGTGAGGCCGAGTCCAGGTGTGCCGTGGTGGGCAGCTGTGTGCAGATGTGCAGGTGTTCAGGTATGCAAGGTGCCCCGGTGGGCAGATGTGTCCCTGTGGGCAGATATACCCAGTGGGCAGGGATGGAGGCCGAAGGACGTAGAGTCAGGCAGGGCCAAGGCAGCCATCCAGGTGGACACGGTGCTGGCTGACCCCAGCCACCATGGACCCCGCACTCCCGAATGCTTTGTACGAACAGTAGGACTGGGAAGGAGCCATCCACTTAAGGCCTAGAGCCACCTCCTCTGCCCAGAGAACCAGGTGCTTCGTGAACAATTCAGGTGGCCCCCAGATGTGCACAGTGCCTTCCGGGGTCACCGGGGCCCATCTGAACTCAGAGCTGACAAGGGAATGCATGCCTCCAGAGGCAGCAGCGGCGCTCAGGTGCGCCGGAGCGGCATGCAGTCCGTCTCTGGACCAGCACCCTGGCCACCCCACACTGTGGTCTCTAGGAGCCTGTGGGCAGCCTCTGTGGCAATGTGTGCCTTTAGTACCAAGCCTCTGAGTGGAAATGCCCGGCCCAGCTTCGCTGGACACTGTGGAGGCTGCAGGCCTCAGTTCTGAGAACTCTGCCTGTTGTCCGTTCAGAGCGCAGGGGGAGTCCTGGAGAGTCCTCTCCTGCACACCATGTCCTCATGTTTCATGTAGGGCCTTTCCAGGTCCTCCTGCTGTCGCAGGAGGTCACTGCCTATAGTTCCTGAGTCCAGGGTTGGCCCCAAGCGAGCACCACAGCTTGCCCGCGGACTGGCCCCAGGACCGCTCCCCGGTGGACGGGAGAACTGAACCATGACCGTCAGCCCCTGTGGCCTCCCCCCTGCAGCCAGTGCTCCCTCCACCCCCACTTCCAGCCCCTCTCTGGGCCCCTCTCTGGGCACTCAGGCCTCTCTGTCCCAGTGGCAGGAAACGGCTGTGAGGTTAGCGGCCTCCGCCTGCTGAGCACTGGCCCTCGGCTCACGGGGAGGAGAGGCTGCTGCAGGGCTCTGACCCCCGACACCCCTGCGGTGGGGCTGCAGCTCCCCACAGGCCCTGCACACACAGCTCTGTGCAGACAGGAGGCTTCTGGCTGCCTCCATCTGCCCGTGGGCATCTGTGTCTCCCTGTGCCCATCTGTGTGTGGGGCAGCGTCTGGTGCCGTCATCATGCAGGGCTCTGTGCCCTGCATTCTCCGATGCCGGCTGTTAGGGCGTTAGCCTGGCCTCAGCCCCCTGGGCACGGGCCTGTCTCCTCCAGGCCTCCACTGAAGAGCCATCCACCTCAGGATCTAGCGAACAACTGTCTGATGTGCTTGGACACTTGCCGGCATGTGTATGTGTATGTGCGTGTGGGTATAGGCATGTGTATGTGTGTGTGTGTGTGTGTGCACCTGTGGGCCTGTATATAAGTGTGCGCATATGCCTGGGAACATGTGAATGTGCACGTGTGCATGTGGTACATACTTGTGCATGTATATGGGCATGTGCTTGTGTGCAAATGATTGTGTGCTTATGTGTGCATGCATGTGGACATATACCAGTGTGTGCGAATGTGTATATGCATGTGTGTGCATGGATGTGTGTGCATATACACGTGTGTGCAGTGTGTGCACAGATGTTGGGGTGCTAGCAGGGTGGCCACAGGGGGCAGCCGGTGTGTTCCGGGAGAAGACAGAGCATCCCCAGTGACAAAGGGGCAAGGCAGCCTGTGGGTACTGCCCATCGCCTGTGCCCTGTGCCAGGGTCCCTCCTCGGCACAGCCGCCTGAGTTCTTCTCTACCAGTCACCCAGCAACAGTGCAGTGCTCACAGGGGGACAGAGCCTCTCAGGAACATCCCGCCCTCACACAGCTGTGTTTGAAAGTGGCCTCCTGCCCTTCCAGCTCTTCCTGTGCTGGGGAAAGGACCCCAGCTCCTGCGAGCATGTTCACTGTGCAGGTGGCTGCTGCTCCCCGACATGGGACAGTGCTCACAGGCCTCTGGTCTGTCCTGTCCCTGCTGGACACAGAGCTCAGTTTGAAATTTGAGGATGTCCTTTCCTGTCCTGTAGGATGGGCCCGCTGAGGTGGGCAGCCCTCTCCTTCCTGTCTTTCTGCATCCCAGGTCCGTCCTCCTCACACCTGGAAGGCCTGGTCCCCAGCCCCTGACCCTTGAGGGGTTACGGGGCAGTCACTTCCTGGTGGCCCCGAGAGATGTGAAGTGGTACCCTTCTGGGTGGACACCCCAGGACCGTGCGCTGCTCCTTCCCAGAAGCTGAGATTCGCTGACCCTGCACAAGCTCTGAGCGAGCTATGGCGGCACCAGGGAGGGGCGCCACGTCTTGCTGCCTCTTCCAGCACAAGAGTCCACCTGTGGGCTGGTCCAGCACGAGAGTCCAGCCTGAGAGCCCACCCACAGTGGGAGGCACGAGGGCATGGCTATCGCTCTTCTGCCCCTAAGGGAATGTGCCAAGGTGGACCTGGCTGGGCAGGTACAGGCCTGGCTCAGGCTGGCTTCCTGGTTGGGGCACGGAGGCCTGGGCCATCTCTGATTCCAGAGAAGGCAGAACAGACCTGGTGTCCTCTTTCCTGTTACTGCCCCCATGTCATGGGGGGTGGCAGCACCCACAGGACGCAGCCCCAGGCCGCCCTGCCCCAGAGCTGTGTGTCCGGAGTGTCCAGAGCCTACTGGAGGATGAGCAGGAGGGTGCCCGTGCCCTGCACTGGGATCCAGAGAGCAGGCCCGGTGGGCACGAGCCCCTTCCCCACTCTCCACACTCACAGTGACAGAGCTGGGGCAGCTCCCCAGCCCGGCAGGCCCTAGATTGCCCAACTCGCCCCTGGCCAGAGTTCCCTGGGTGCAGTTCCCTGGAAGGAAGCGCTGGGGAGACGAGCCCTGGGGCGGGGTGTGGCCACAGCCTCAGGCAGCCCAGCCCCTGTCCATCCCTGTGCCTGGGGCCAGTACCGAGGACCGCAGGACTGAGGAGCTTGCCTTCCCGACCGGAGTGCTCACCACACCCAACCACGCCTGCAGCAAGGCCACTGCTGGGTCTAAGCTTAAGTCACTGAGCCCTGACACTCCAGGGCCACCTGGCAGACTCGAGGGAGGCTGAGGGGGATGAGGAGAGGGGGTGGGAGCAGCCAGGGAGCAGGGAGGCGGCCTGGCCGGTGGCCCCCCATGATGCCTTGGCAGGCAGTTGCCTGGAGCCCTCTGTGCCACTGTACCCAGCCTCTCTCCAGACCGGAATCTGCCGCCTACCCCCTCGGAAGCCTGGCACTGGGGAGCCTTGGGCTGGGCCCCGGGAGTCGTAGCACCTCCAAAGAGTACTCCAAACCCCCAGCTGGCCTCCCAGCCCCCCATGTCCCCTGCTAGCTCCCCCAGCTCACGAATCGCCCCCACCAGAAACGCGGAGTTATGAGGTGAAGCGATGGAGAGATCCTCTTAACTGTGGCAGTCTGCTCTCACGGTGTCTGAATTTCCCCGCACTTCTTTCTGCGCTGTGGCTCTCTGCCGGGCTGCTTCTCTCAGGGCTAACGGCACCGCCATCAGCGGCTGTCGGGGTGTGCGCGGAGGTGGGGACTCGGGGCGTCTGTCGTCAGTTGGCTAATGGATCCCGAGTGCGCAGGGAGGAGAGAAGCCTAAGCACTGTGTCTGCCACACGCCTGGGGCTGGCAGGTGCTGGGGGGCTCTCCATGTGCCACTCTCCTTTGAGGGCACGGAGCAAACTCAGAGCAATGGGTCCAGCCATGAGGCCGTGTGGGACACTTTCTGTAGGTAGGCACGGGCACACGGGCACAGGAGCACACCCATGCACGCACATGAGCATACACATGCGCGCACACAGCCACACACGGCTATACGCACACACACAGCTGGGCGGGGCACCCACGATGATGATGATTTACGGTGATCGGAAGTGGCAGAAACAGAAAGTCCGTTCTTGTGTGGAGGCGGGGGGGAGGCCTTCTGGAAACACTTCTGTCCGGTGTGGACACAGGGCCTGGATGAGCTCATAAATCCCTGTGCTGAGGCTCGTTACGGGCTCCGTGGTGATGTGACCAAGCACCGGGGAGAAACGCA